GAAACAATGTTCCAAGGAAGTGTAGGTTTAAGAGTTAAAGGAGAAAGAAGAAATTTCTTTATAGCGTTTGAATCCACAGACAGAAGTTACACAAAGAAAATTTGTGAAGTTTGGTCAAAAGACACATCCATTGCCGCTTACACAAACCTGTATTCAAAAGCATTTGGTCATGGTTTTATAAAAGAAATTGAAAAGAAAATATATGAAGATTTAATAACCATTGAAATTGATATATTTTTGATGCCAAACCCAGAAACCATAGAGCAGGAAGAAGATTTTGAATTTATGGTAGAAGGAGGAGATGTATTCATTCGGACCACAGAAGAAGGTGGCGGAATGAGAGCGCAGGCAAATACTCTAGGCTTTAATTTACCATCCTCAATTATTGAAAAAGAAAAATCGAAAAGGGCAGAAATTTTGAAAGCAATTCTTGGTCGTCGAGGGCCCGACGAATTGAAGGGGGGAGCCGCTTTAGGGAATCTCGACCTTGAATGCACGCGCCAACTAAACACACAGCAGAAGGCCACGCTTGCAAACTGGCTTGATGAAGGGACCGGGCGGGTGCACTATCAACAAGCCCCGCCCGGGACCGGAAAGACCAGGGTTGCAGCGGCCTGTGTGGCAGCAGCTGTAAGCCAAAAGCCCGGGTGCGCTGTTCTTGGCACCGCGGCAGCTAATTTACCCATTTCCCGGTTAGTTGAGGAAGTTGAAAGGACTATGCCAGACAAAGACATGGTCGCCTTCTTCAGCGGTATGGCTAAAGTCAGATATAATGAACACATTGCTTTTTTAGAAAAGCAACTCCTTGCTGCAAAAGTTAAGCGAAATGAGTATAAAAGCAAACTTGAAAATCCCGAAATAAGGGATGTTGAGAAATATTTGGAAATGATTGATACCCGCCCTCGACATGCTGCTGAACGAAAAGTAGGGAAGGTATTACAAGAAAAAGATTTTAGAAATGTGGCGTTTGCGACTATACAAATGGCATTGGCAATCCCCGGGGCACACAATTCCACGTCCCACTTAGTTGTTGATGAAGCCACTCAGGTTTCGTACACCTCTTTGGTACATCTAGTGTGTCAAATGCCGAGTCTGGTCTCCCTTCTCTTGACGGGAGATCTCAGACAAATTGGGGTGCATTTAAAGGATCTTCCGGATTTATTACACACAGGCTTTGGACTTGAATCGATTACGTGCCAGGTTGAACACTGTCCGCGTATTTCCATGACTGCTCTTGAAATGTGTTATAGAGCTCATCCCACGTTAGTGACCTGTTTCGATTACTCTTCATATCGCCAACATAATGAAAAGGTTTTACCTGCAATAAAGGCGGAGGATAGAAAGGGACTTACGCACTTGGGTGTAAATCTTCCTATCGCTAACATTCCTCTAGTGCTGTTGAATATTTGTGGGACTACCCAAGTGGACCCGGCGTCTTATAGTGTCATGAACCCCGAACAACATAACGCAGCGCTAAGAATTGTAGAAGCGCTAGAGAAAAGAGACCCGGGTGGAGTGGTGGTGATATGTCTTTACTCTTATGAAGCGGAATGCCTCCGTAAGGAATTGAGAGAAATGGGCTTAGAAGTGGGAGTACATACTACGGATGCCTTTCAGGCGCAGGAAAAAAGGCTAGTTGTATTAGTAACTACGCGCACACAGAACACAGCTGCAAAATCAAAGCCCGCTGCATCAGAATTTCTGAAAGACTCGAGGCGCGCGACGGTAGCGCTGACGCGCGCACAGCATGGAATGGTCATCATAGCCGATTTCCAATCTCTGAGCGAAGGGGAAGTCTGGGCCCGGTTCGTAGAAGAAGCGCAAAAACATACCCCAATTGTAAATGAAGGATATTTAGAGGTGATGGAAATGGAGAATCCTTCAAGAGGGGCTGGCGGAATTCTACAGGACCGAAAAGGATGGTCGCTGCAAGCAGTGCGGAAAGAAATTCAAATGGGTGAAGAAAGTCGTCGCAAGGGCGACAGAATGTGCAACCGTTGTGGAGGCCGTGGACACATGGCGAGAGACTGCCGACGAAATTAAGTGGTGAGAAAGAGGCAGAGAAAAGGTGGGCCTAATTTAATTCAAAAATATAATTTAAAATTAAAAATAAGACCAGGGACGGTCTTCCGTGGGGTGGAAGGTGTTAGACTCTAAAGTTAAATCCGAGAGCTAGGTGGACTTTGATTAAAAGGCCAAAAAGGAAATTCACGTGAATAGGGAAAGGCGGAATTCATACGCTAGGCAATAGGAAGTTGCAAAGTGTAATCAGTGAGAAACAAGCGATAGACCCGCCTATAGAGAAGAAGCTTATAATCAAAAGGAAAATAGGGAAAAGCGCTTCAGTCGGCCTGGACTGTGAGTCACTCTTTTATCCAGTTGAAGAACATTCCAACTGAGCTTATATTATTGATTACGGTCAGCTAAATGCTAGATCAAGCGGTATACCGAAACCATTAACCCTACTCAGCTCTTAACACCTCTGGGATTCTAATATCTTCCACCTTCAATTCCTTATTCTTAAATAGGCGGGCCCCTATTTAACTATATTAAAATATCCAAAACACAATTTTGTATCAGAATTCTGCTGTGTGTTTTCATTTCTTTTGGTGTTTTAAAAATAATTAAAATAATCAGAATAATGTTTAGAGGATAACCAAGTAATAAACTCCCCCAATAATCAAATTTAAATAAAATATCGGTTAAATTTGACATGGACATTTTTATATAAAAATTGCAATTTTTTGCTTTAAGAATTGATTTTTAAAAAAAGTTTTAGAGTAAAATAAAGTAAAATTAATTTAAATTTTTTTTTATTAAAAAGTTTCGCGTTAATAACTTTAAAAAATACAAAAAATATTTTTGAGAAAATTCTTTTGGTTCATTTTATTAACAAATTTCTGAGAAATTTTATGCACTTTTCTGTTACACGAATGACTTATTTACATTATCAAGGTATTTATTAACGTAAAATTTCTACAGCAATGAAATAGAGAAAATAGATGAAAGAGAAAGTCTAACTATTCTTGTCACATGAGTTGGCATAGAATACCGTAAATCATCTAAAATAACCCCATGGGGTTATTTTTTTAAATCGACCTCTGGAGTGGGGCTATTTTAGAGGCTGGGGTTATTTTAGAGGATGAGGGGCAGAATAAGGAATGCCAAAACACGGAACGGACAGAACATGGAACGACAAAACACGGACAAGACAAAACAAGTGTTGTTCTGTCCCGACACGATTTTAGAGGATTTACGGTATGTCAACAAAAACTAGTTGGGCTTAACTAGAATTGCAACCCGAACAAAGTACGGGGTAATTATTATGTCGGGGTAAGGGGTAACTTTTACAAATACAAAAAATATTTTTGAGAAAATTTTTTTTTGGTTTAATTAAAACTGTGAGAACAACTAGCTTTGTTTACTTGCTCAGAATTAATTTAACACAAGTTGTAAATTATTAGAAAATGTTTGATAAACAAGTCTAGACACCAAAATTAATTTAAATAAAGTTTTTTACACCTTTAAAAATATTACATTTACCCACTTTAATTTCAAAACATTGTTAATAGTGAAGAGTAGAGACCGGCAAAATCGCGTTTGCGGGATCCCGCGGGATAAAAATTTTTTTAAAAATCTTTGCGGGATGAGATCCCGCGGGATAAATCCCGCAAAATCCCGCACTCCCGCAAAATCCCGCAAATCGAAAAAGGTGCGGGAGCGGTATCCCGCAAAATCCCGCGCTGGATCCCGTCCCGCGCCGGTCTCTAATGAAGAGTCTCACATCCAAAGCTCGTTCGAAACAGAGAAATCTTCGGAAATCGAATAAATTCAAAAATTTTCAAACTCAAAAATCGAAAAAATATTTTAAAAATTTTGGAAATAATTTACAATTTTTGGTGTCGGGAATGGGATAAAATCTCACCCAAGGCGGTGCGAATTTTTACCCAAAATTTTTCCATGCGCATTCAACCGTTTATACGGGTTGAATGCGCCCCTTATAGTATTTAATTATGGACTATCTAATGATAGCATCCATTAATTTTTTACAGACCAATTTTTGTGTTTGGTAATTTTTTGCGGAATTTTTATATAAAATGCGGGTTTTTAAGATCAAAATTCCGGATTTTTTTAAAAATTCGAGATCGAAACCCGCCTATTTCGGAAATACAATATTCAAAAAAAATTTTATTCTAATTATGTTTAATTTTCAATCCATTAGAATAATCTACCCATCTTTTTGAAATTTCTTTAAAATAATCTTCTTGAGTAATAAAATAGAGCCAATCCAGAAGGCTAATATGTAAAGAATGATAATCCCAACGGGCAATATTAGGCCTCAATTTTCCTTTTAATTGGACATGTCTCAAATCATATAGAGAACGTTGTCCAGTATCGAAAAGGGGTAAAAGTGAGCGTAGAGAAGTTAGTCCATTAAAAAATAATTTTTTTGAAGAATTTTTTGAAGATTTTTCGTTGAAAGAAGAAAAATCATTTAGGCCAATTAATGCATAAATAAAGCCGTTTAAAACAAAAGTTCCTGAGGGTAAAGTTGGGTATTCTTCATACCAATCATATCCAAATAATTGATTTTTAATTCCTCCTTTTGATGTTGGCTTTGAAAGAAAAAAATTTTAGAAAAAAAATTTTTAATTTTTCTAGAAATTTTATTAGGTTGGGATGAAATGTCACTTATTTTATAAAACGAATTACAATTTAATTTGATACACCCAAAAAAAATATTATAGTTAATTTATGGCCCACACAGGAAAATTTTTTCAAATAAAGGAATCTTAGTAATACCACAGACTTCACAACGATTCATAAAAAGCCAGGATTCTTCCTATGGATCAGTTAAAATTGCCCATCTTGGAAATTTCTTTTCTTTGGGTCAGTTTCGGAAATGAATTTTTTGTGAGATTTATTATTTGTTAGAGTGCCAAACACAGTTCAATTAGATACACCCCCCCCCTCTTGTTATTTAAGAAGGATATGAACTAAAACCCATTCATGAAGATAAAAACCCTCTTAAAAAATTAAAAAGAAATACCAAGTCAAAAAGGTCACAAGCTCTTTCCCCTGCCAACAAAAATCGTTCATCTCCCGTAGCATTAAATGCTCTAGCCAAAAAACTGAGGGCATGTCCTAGAAAATATTTTTAAAAATTAATTTTTGATTAAAAAAATTAAAAAAAAAACCTTGTGCCATAGCACTATACCAACCAGCAGGAAGGAAAAGTTTGTTTTCCTCTTCGTCTTTATTAAAAATTCTTTCGACTGGAATTGGCCTAAAAATATTGAAATTTTTATTTTTAAATGAAAAAAATTATTCAATTAAAAATAAAAAAAGTTTTGAGAAAAATTGAGAAATTTTAAAAAAAAATTCTTCCCCTGACTTTCTCCCACAAATTAGAGTATTTCCTGATTTGTATTTTTAACTTTAAAAATGTGCTGTGGATTTACAAAAGTCCGTTAATTTTTTAGGCTGTCAATTAATGATTCCCTCAAGTCTGATTGTGAGTCTTACCGACAGAAAACTTTATCCTACTTTTTTTGAATAATAAATTCCTAAGATTTTTCACTCCATAACGAGGTAATCGTGAATTCCCAACTTGGAACTAAACGATTCCTGGAACAGGTAACTCGGGTTATCTAGATTAGGGCTACGCGAAATTTCGTTCGTTTCGCTTTTTCGTGTCCTTTTCCCCTTTCGTTTCGGAAAGAAACAAAAAATTTTATTTCGCCCAGCCCTGATCTAGATCTTGACCCCTCATCAGTCTTTGGAGTTTACAACGTTTTTTTTGTGAATCTTTTGGATGGTAAGGAAAACCTCTCCACAAAAAATTTAAAATTATATCAACTCCACAAAAAATTAAAAAAAAATAAAAAAAAATAACCATCCTCCTCTGTCATCCTGATGTTTTAAAAGCCATTCAGCTACCTTCAAAAATCTGAAAAAAAATAAATTTAAAAAAATAAAAAACCCTCAAACATTTCTTTATGAGCAAAATTCTTTTGACGAATCGAAGTTAATTGGAGTTGTAAAGGTCCAGAAAATTGTATAGAAATTGGAATAAAGTTTAAAGCATCAGAAAGAGTTGATTTGGAATTTAAGAGGTTTAAAGCTTTCAAAACAAAAATGGGTAAATCCAAAAGATATTCAACAAAAGCATCATTTTGTTCAAGAAAATAGGCAAAATGTAACTGAAAAAAAATTTTTTTTTGATTATTATTAAAAAATGTTTTGTGGAAAAAATATTTTTCCAAAATTAATTAAAGCAAAAGAGAAGAAACATAAAAAACCAAAGAAGGGTTCAAACCTTAACATTTACAGTAAATGTCCTATAGAGGCACTGGGCCTTTTCTCAGTGGATCAGATTAAATGAATTTCGGAAGGGCATGGGCTTTTCCAAAATCTTGGCCTTTCCTAATATTTAAAGAAAAAATAACTAAAATATTTTATTTTTAATAAGGTGGGATAAAATGTCTCAAATTTTTCTATAAAATTTCTTTTTAATTTTAGAATCCAAAAAACATTAAAATTATTTTTTATAAAAAATTCTTACATTTTCTTCCTTATTTTCTCCATCAAAATTATTATTTAAATTCCAAACACATTTCTCACTTCCATTAGGCCATTGACGAAATTCCAACTTTAATTTTCTTCTTTTTAAATTCCCCCCAATTCTTTCTTCAAAAAATAACACAAAAGAGCCATCCATCGTTTCAATTTTTGCAGAAAAGAGTAAAATTTGCAAATCAGAAAAAAGTTGAAAATTCGCTAACTTTTGGAAATTTTTATTTTTAAATTCATTTAAGAAAATTTAGATTGGGGGTATTTTTTGCGGACAATTCTTGCAGACATCAAAAAAATTTTTTTAATTATAAAAATGTTTGAATGATTTTAATTGATTTCAAAGTCAATAACAAAAACACAAACACGCGGAAAAAGAAAAAAATCCGCAAAAAAATTGTCCGCAAAAATTCCAAGGCCTGGGTTTTTCCTGTACCCAGAGGCTAGGCCCAAACATTTTTTGACCTTCCTGGATTTTTCCTGGGCCAAGGTTTTTCCTGGACTACAGGCCCAGGATCCGGCCCATGACGGACCTTCTTGGGTTTTTCCTGGCTCAGATCAGTAAATAAAAGCCAGAGTCCAGGAACAGGTCCAGGCTTTTCAAAAATCTCGATCTCTAGTTGCTATTTATTGCGGACAATTCTTGCGGACATCAAAAAAAAACTTTTTTAACTATAAAAATGTTTGCCTAAATGATTTTAATTGATTTCAAAGCCTAAAACAAAAACAAGAGGGAAAAAGAAAAAATCCGCAAAAATTTTGTCCGCATAAGTTGTCCGCAAAAAAAACAAAAAAATCCGCAAAAAAATTTATTTAAACCCAAAAAATATCCCTAAATGTCCACTATCCCTTCTAAAAACCCTTTCTTCACTGCCCTTTCCAATTCCCTTTTTAATTTATAAAAACCTTTCTCTCCACTTTTTAGTATCAACAAATCCTCTTTGTTTGATAATCTTTTTTCAATTAATTCCCTCTGTTCTGTTCGATTTCTCATAAAATAATCAAAGCCAAATTGAAGTATTTGAACAGGATAAAAGTATGGAATAGGACTCCATTGAACGCTCATTGGTAATCCTAAAAAATGGAAAAAAAATTTTCTAAATTTTTTTGCGGACAAGATTTGCGGACAAAACTTGCGGATTAAATTCTGTCCGCAAATTTTGTCCGCAAATTTAATTTTCAGTTAAATTTTTATTTTATTTAAAAAAAATTAATTAAAAATCCAAAGAAATTAACAGAAAAATTTTTTTAAAAAAACAAAACTCCTTAAAATTTGAAATGAAAAAATAAAAAGAAAATCCTCTTCATTTGCGGACAAATTTTGCGGACTATATATTTTCTGCAAGTAATTTTCTCAAAGACGAGTAAACTTATTTTATTAAACACTTCTTACATTTCTCACTCATTTTCAACTTTAAAACATAAAAATTTCATTTAAGGAAAAAATAGCGGACAAAAGTTTGTCCGCAAGTTTTGTCCGCAAGTTTTGTCCGCAAATTAATTCTTTTCCCCAAAAAAAATTTAAAAACCCTTAAAATTAACAAACCATTTTCGGGTTTTAAACATTTTATTCTTGGACGAATAGCCACATTGCTAAATTGTTCAATCGGATTTGTAACCACCATTTTATTTTTATTTTTAAAAAGGCGTGGAGGAATGTTTGAAGTAAAATAATCAAACGAAGAATTTTCTTTAAAAAAAATTTTTTAAATTATTATCTATAATAGTATATACCGACTTGTCTCTAATACAAGCCCTGGGCTTCTATTTTCAATACCTCTTCTTGAGTGGGCTTCTAGGGCATGGGCTTCTATTAGAGATGGGTTTCTATTGAAGATGGGCTTCTATTGGAGATGGGCTTCTATTGGAGATGGGCTTCTATTAGAGATGGGCTTCTATTGGAGATGGGCTTCTATTAGAGATGGGCTTCTATTAGAGACAATCCGGTAATATAAATTATAATATAAAATTATAATTTAAAATTTACTCCAAACAATAGTAGAAAGACCACAAAATAGCCTAACAAAAAAATTATTTGTCCGCAAATATTTTGCGGACTGTCCGCAAAATTTGTTAAAAATAAGTTTAAAAATTAAAGAAATACTTTTGTCAGTCTCTCCATACAAATCAAATTGTTTTTTCAAAAATGAATTGAATGGAAGATAAACTTCTTTTAAGTCATTTTGTTGAAGACAGGGAACTCTTTTTTGCTTTCCTAAAAATTTAAATATTACTTTTCTGTAGAAAATGGCCACTAAATTGTCAAAAATAGTTTTTCTACATGTTAAAATTCTAGGAATTTGATATTTTGCTAAAAAATTCCCGGAAAAATTTGATTTGCAAAATTTTGAAAAAAAAAACAAAAAAATTTGCGGACAAAACTTGCGGATTTTTGCAATTTTAATCATTAATTGGTCATGACTTGTCGAAAAATTACCCAATCCCACCAACTTTTGCCCCTTTCGATTAGGAAATTCAAGTCTCGTAGGAGCATTTCGAGCCTCGTATTAATTTTCCAGCTCACCCAAAGTCGAAAATTATAAGAGGGCGTGGGCATAAGAGGATAACAAAAATTTAAAAAAAAAATAAAAAAAAATTTAAAAGAAAAATCAAACCGTCAATAAAACAAGTTATTGGATGCCAATTTAAAGAAATATTTAAATTTTTGCAGTTAGAAGAGTCCCATAAGTGTTGACATTGATTTGTTTGGTAAGAAATTGAAGGCAACCGAAGAATTAAAAATAATAAGAAAATTGTTGAAATAATTAGTAAAATTAAAAGATAAAAAGGTTTTGGAAGAATAAACATTTTTAAATAAATTAAAAATTTCTAGAAGCTAAAAGAAAGCTAAAAATGGTGTGGACCGGCAGTTGAAGATATGACACTTGAGGATGCGACAATTGAGAACGACATTTGAGGACGCGACGATTGAGAACGACAATTGAGGAGCGACAGTTGAGAACGACATTTGAGCACGCGACAGTTGAGAACGACATTTGAGGACGCGACAGTTGAGGATGCGACAATTGAGGATGCGACAATTGAGAACGACAATTGAGGACGCGACAGTTGAGGATGCGACATTTGAGGATGCGACATTTGAGGACAAAAACACGTTTAAAAAATGTTATAGAATTTTATCATTTTTATCAATTAATTGGATTAATATTGCTCTATCAATGGTTATCATTATTGTTTTTTGCTAATCTATAGTGTATGGCACGCTGATAATTTTGCTCAGAATCATAAGATCGAGCTGATTTTGTGTCATTCGACTCGGCTTAACGAGCTCGTTCTGGTGAGCTCCTTGAACCGATATTTTCATGACTTAAGCCCCAAAGAAAGCACGCCAATTTGACCGGAACCGGAACTGAAGCACCGGATCCGGAATCAAAAAATCACGGAACTTCCGGCCTACCCGTTACGTCCCCGCTTACATCGACGAACACAACAGAAAGTTTATCACATGTAGAAAATAGAAGAAGATGAAGATTGGGGTAGGAAGACGGAATAAGACTGAGAGAGAGAACTAACTATTGGCTGGCTTTTATACTAAACTCTTTAAGGGCTGTCGCCCATATACACGACCGGAACCGGAACTTCCGTCGAAACGATTTTAATATTTAATAAAACATTTATTCAATTATGTGGATGTATTTGTAAACGTTTAAAAACAGCATTTCGATATGGTGTGTTTGTTAAAATACAAATAAGTGGGTTAAATACAGGGGTTAAATGAAACGAAATGTAAATTAATATTCGAATAATGTTTGTTGCATTGTTGTTTGTTTTCAAATTAATTTGGATAAATAAAATTCCAACTTGATTGATAAATGGCACCGTAGCCTAAAATTTTTTTTGTTACTTTTCCGTTAACCGCAAACTTAGTACCAGCCGACTTTTGATGGGCTATAACTTTTTGATGGGTAATCCAATACAAATAAATTTAATATCATTCAAAAGCCCTCGATAAGCGGTATCTTTTCTCCTTTAGGATAGGTAAGGTATGATCACTCACTAAAAAGTTACAGACCGATAAGTTATAACCGATCACAGTTACTTGGTGTTTTCACAGTTATCGGGTCATAACTTTTTGATGTGTGATCCGAGCTGATCCATCAAGATGGAAAAAAGATCCGTTTATCGAGAGCTTTCGAAAGATATAACATTCATTTATATTGGATTGAGCATTGGAGGACTTTATTGTCCTTTCCCATGAAATATTGAGCTTGGAAGGACTTTACCCGAAGGACTTTGCCCGATTATTTTTTCTTTCACATTTGACAACAATCTATTAGCCTATTGCCCCTCCCACTTATATGTCAAGTGATTTATAAACAGTTATACACGGTTCAGTTATATATAATTTAATATTATGTGCTAACTAGCGATTATATTATTGTCCAGTTTGTGAATAAAAATCTTTATTACTTAGGTGTGTTCGGTGTAGGGAAGAGTCTAAGGGACTTGATCAACCCCGAAGATCTTCTAGGATTGTCCCGACCACATCCGCTCCCCTTGTATCCTATAATAACTGAGAATAAAAGGGCCCACCACTTAGGCGCATAGTTACTAGGGAGAAGGGTTCTATTTTACTGTATCAAAAAGTTATAGCCGATCAAAGTCGGCTGGTACTCAGTTTTCAGTCCAAAAAATCTTACCAAAAGAATCAAAACTTTTGTTAAAAGTTTATTCAATACTTTCAAATTCGCATCGAAATTGGAATATAATTTGACATATCTAACCATTTTAAATCCACAAATAAGCATTATTATATAAGGAAGTATTTGAGCTAAAGCTGCAGGTAAGGAAGACAAAAAAGTTATCTACACAATATATATTTTTTAATTTTTAAAATATTTATTTGGAAATACCGTTCCCACGTTACCATACTCAATAAACGGCAATGTTTTGTTATAAGCTTCGAAGTGTTTAATCCCTCCAGAAAAGTAGGGACTGATGTAAATTATCATGTCCAAGATATATAATATCGACACAAATAGAGCAATGGAGGCCATAAATATATAACGGCGAGAATTAATTTTTATGTTTCTAATATTAGTTATTTTACATTTAAATTGGGGTAGCAACCCGCCCCTTCGAATGCAGTTGTGTCGGGGATTGGGGTTTGCCGGGAAAAGCATGGCGGGGTTCGTGTAGGGGTTGACTTTTGGGCCGGAGTTCTGGTAAGGGGTACCCGTGTTAAGCGTTCTGTTGAGTGTTTTGTCGATTAAGGGATATCGATGATCAAGGAAGACAGGCATTTTGTGGGTCATCAAGAATCTAGGGAGATATTGGGGTGTTAGAAGGGATTTATGTGGATACCGTATTTTCTCGATTAATTCCACCGGGGAATTATTTTTTCAACCCTTCCATAGCATGGGGAATTAATCGAGGGAGGGGAATTATTCGTGGGAGTAGAATTAATCGAGAAAATACGGTAGATTAAGCGCCGCAGGCAAAAATTTTTAAAATTTTCGAAGGCCCATGGGCAGGATTTTTTCCTTTTTCTCAAAATTTTCGCCTGCGGCGCTGCAAATTTGAACCCCATGGATGGATATAGAGGCCATTCGGAGGAGCCATTTAATTAAATACGGTGAATATGTATCTTTATAATTTACCTATTCAAAACCAAATATCTATAAATAAATTGAACACACAATCCAATTAAATTTAAATAACCAATGTATTGCCAAAATATTGAAGCAATATAGCATATAAATGGATTAAAATTTCCTTTCATAAAACTACTAAGCAAAATTCCGTTAGGATAAATTTTAGTTGGATTTCCTTCTTCATCATGTATGTAAAACTATAATTAAGTATAAAATTGAGTGAGAGTGAAGTTGTGAGAGTTAAGTTGTGGGTCAGCAGTTCACTTGGAACTAGGATTAAGGTTGCCGTTTTCGAGCCGGGCCGCGTTCGAGTCATTTTTTCGGGCCGGCCCGACCGAGTCTTTTTCGGGCCAGAATTCAACGCCCGACTCGATCTTTCGGACCGGACCGGGCCGGCAACCATAATTAGTATGGATAGGATGCCAATGGAAATTTGGGATTGAGTTCCAATTACCTCTTGAATAAACGCTTGAACGGTCAACATTAAAATATCCAAAACACAATTTTGTATCAGAATTCTGCTGTGTGTTTTCATTTCTTTTGGTGTTTTAAAAATAATTAAAATAATCAGAATAATGTTTAGAGGGTAACCGAGTAATAAACAAACAAAATAATCAAATTTAAATGAAATATCAAGTATATCAAAAGACATTTCGGAACACCTCAATTCAGCCTGGATCAGTTCAGCCTGGATCAGTTCAGTCTGGACCCTATAACTCATCAAGGAATGTTCATTTTTTCATGTTCTTGGTACCATTGGATAGAGAATCAAAAGCTCTACAACATATCAAAAGCTCAGAATTTTTGACTGAATGAACAAAAAGTTATGATATAAAAACCAACTTTGCTCAAAAAGACGCGATTTTTGGCACTTTTTCGAACATAACTTTTTTGCCAGTTAGTCTAGAATTTTGATTTTCAGGTATTTCGTAGCTTATTTAATGCTCTATCAAATGGTACCAAGAACATTAAAAATTATCAGCCTCTTCGAAAGTTATGGGGTGCGCGACTGAACTGAGCCAAGATTTAATGTAAAATATTTTTATTTTAGAATTTTCAAAAAACTTTTAAATGTGTCTTTATTTAAAAGAAAATGTCCAATTTAAACATTTTTCACCCGGCATTTATTTAACGGCTTTAAAAACGCAAACAGGAAACTTTTTCTTTATAATTATCAATAATTAATAGGTGTTACTTTCATTTTTTGAAATTTTACTTCATATTTGAAATTTTTAATTTTAGGTTGAATTATATAAAAATGTCAGGTTGAAATTCTTTGCTGACGTGCTTGGTACTAAATAAAAAATTTAAAATTATACAGTACAAAAATAAAAGAAAATTTAGCACCCCGAGCCTTCGGGGGTGGAAGTTGCCGGGGTAGAGCCTTCGGGGTTAGAGTCGGGGTCTTGCCTAAAAATTCGTTGGGAGTCTTGTCGTGGTTTCGGGGGTTTTCGGGCCTTATTTTTATCGTGCCCACCCGATCGAGTCTTTTTCGGGCCAAAATTCGATGCCTGAATTGATCTTTCCGGACTGGGCCGGCAACCCAAATTAGAACCTTATGTAATTTGAAAAGTTTAGGTGGGGTTCTAGTTATGTTACACACTGTATTATTTAAAATTTTTTTGTAGATCTTAAGAATCATTTTAAAGAGAATTTAAGATGTACAATTTTTGTGTTGAAACTTTTTTCTAAAAATTAATCAAAAATAGATGGACGAAAAATAAACTACCGTAAATATTCTAATAGAAGCCCATCCCTATTGTAGGGGAGAAGAAAAACCCCGGGAACGGGAGTAGGGTCGGGAAATGATCACATGAGTCGGGATCGAGATACCCGAACATCACAACCCTATTAGAAGCCCCTTAGATGAGGTGTATTGAAAAATACAAGCCCAGGGCTCCTATTAGGATATTTACGGTAAATTTAGCAACCTTCCCCCTATAATTTTTCCGTCAATTGTACCTTAAATAATTAAATAAAATTATCCCTTTTAATTCTTTTTTTTATAAAATTCCAAGCGAGCTAATCGGCCTTTTTCCCTTTTTTATTTTTATTTATTCGCATTAATCGGCCATTGTTTTGTCATTGATCGTTGGATATTATTTATTTTATTGTGAAAGCGAGAATTGGACTGTAATAAATAAAAAAAATTTTTTTTTATTGTTTCGATAAGCTTATTTAATAGAAAAATAATTTAAATTTTTATTTAAAAAATATTTTTTAGACTATACAAAAGCTGAAACCCTTATAATACCCTCTAGGAATACTTAATACATACTAGGGTAGCACCCAGAGCCTTCGCGGTCGGAAGTGTCGAGGATCGGGGTTTGCCGGGGAAGCCATGTCGGGGGTTCGGAGTCGGGGTTGACTTTAGGTCGGGGTTCGGGGTCGGGGTTTTTGCCAAAAAAAATCGTCGAGGTCGGGTGACGTTTCGGGGACGGGGTGTTGCCCTACTTGTACTTAATACCTTAAAGCTTCCCCGTGTTAGCACCAGAACTTTTTCGAATCAAAAAAATCCGCGAAAATCGACAGCTCATTCTAAATTCCTTCTAAAATCGCTCCGTTCTCTTAAAATATCCCCAACTGAACTTTTTTTATAAAATACCCTCCAGGGGTTATTTTAGGGTAATTACGGTATTTCTAGGGAAATTAAAGTATTCCTCGCCTTAATTTTCTCATTTTCGACCTTCAAAAAATTTATTTTTTGACGACAACTTTTTTTCATTTTTATGGCATTTTTTGTCTGTTTTACATCCTTTCTGACCTTGATAATTTTTTTAAACATTAAAAATAATTATTTTTTATTTTATTTTTATTTCTTTACAATTTTTCTATATTTTTTTGCATTATTTTCTGTTCATTCTGTGCAAATATTTACATACTTTTTTTACGTAAGCCTATTTCTGCGTGTTTATTTTTGTCGTTCCTTTTCCTCAATTTTAGCCCTTTTTCGAATATTGTTTGCAAAAACAAAAAAAACGATTTTATAAGGGTATTTCAAGCATTTTTGAGGGTTTAAGAGTGTTCTTTGGGGATGTTTTGGCGCAGAGACGTTTTGGCGCGCGCTTCTATATTGGCATTTAAAATGGAGATAGGGAGATCAATTTTCTTTTAGAATATTCTAGAAGCGTTGGCTACCTTCTCTAAAAATTTTAGAATTTTTGATACGGTAGTTCTCAAGTTATGATAGAAAATCTGGAGAGACTCTTCGTTTTTTTAAATTCTGATAGTATTTCTTTAATAATTTCAGACTTATTCAACCAAAAATTCTGAAATTTTCAGAGATTATAGTTGACATCTTCGCGGATCTATTTTCAAAATTTTAGGACCAGAAAAACTCTCATACCCCACCTTAGAGATCGGCAAAATCGCATTTCCTGGATCCCGTAACGGGATTGAGTTTGAAAAAATCTATCGGGAGGGATCCCGCGGGATTAAGCCCGAAGTCCCGTTAATCCCGCTCGTCGCTAAAAACCCGGGATTTCGGGACGGGATCCCGTAAAATCCTGCCCGGGGTCCATCCCGTGCCGATCTCTACCTCACCTCCCCAACTCAGAACAAAATGGTCAAAATGTAAAATTTTAAAAAGGGTCAGTCTTCGTAATTTTTACTTAAATATAAATTTTCTTTTACTTTCCCCTCCTCATCATTTCTCATCTTTTTTATCCTAAAAATAAATTTTTAAGTGTTTTGTCTACATATTATTGTACATAATATTTATTTGCCCTCTTATCCCGTTGAACGGTTGTTTTCGCTAAATTGCTTTTGCGACCTTTCCACTTTTCTTGCTTTAAATATTTCGTACTCTCCTCTTAAAAATAGTCCTTTAAAACAAGCAAAATATTTTCTTATTTAAATTCTGAAAAATCAGAATTTTCAAAAAATTTTAATTTCTGTGCGATTAAATGGCCGCTAGAGCCAAATATTCGCAGGTCTGTAACTTGACCAAAGGAGCCTCTAAATTTATGAAATTTTGTAGAAACATTGTTGAGGGTGTCCTCTAGATTCTCTAAAATTTTTAGAATTTTAGGGTTTTTTTAGGCTGTTTTGTAAGCTTCCGCCTGTCGCTAATGGGAAATTATACAGTACACACCCCATTTATTCGCAGGCCAACAATAAGTATGTTAATATTTACTACTCTAAGCAACCTTACTCCTGCGAGACGCGTTCCGCTGCCGCAAAACACTACGAGAAGCGCGGGGTTTTGCATATGCGTCTCGTCAACTCCCATAGGTTTGGTTGACCATTTTGAGCCTTTCTCGCGAATAAATGGGGTGGTTAATTCAACTGCTTAAGTTACCGCTAATGCCCATTTATTCGCCTTATTCTAAAATTTATTTTTACACGGGATTATTCAGAGAATGATTTAATTCAAATATTTTTTGATTAACGTGTCTTTTTTTCGTATAAAATTTTATTTCAAAAATTTTCAATTTTATTTAAAAAGAGAAAAATTTTTTTTAATTCCTAGTTTACATAAATAACGTGTCATTTTTATGAGTCATAAAATTTCTTACTAAAAAATTTTCTGTTTAATTTTGTCACATATAAATATGTATGCTTTTAATAAATGTTGTTTATTTATGTATATTCTCTATTTTTCCTTATCAATTTAATAATTTTCTGTTCACTTTATTTATTATTTTTTAACAATTAAATTTTCTTTTATTTTTATCATCAACTTCCTATTATGAAAGTAACGAGATTTCTTGCATGATGACTTTACGCTGAGTTATGGCCATTCAAATTTGCAAGAAAACCGGCACACAGCAATAGGAAAATAGAGGGTTATCTATCGAATGGTACCAAAAAATATATCAAATTAGCAGTCACCGCAAACAATGGCTCCTTGTTAGAGACGTCCAAGACCGAAAACTTTCCAGGACCCAAGGCTTGGCCTTAAAATTGTGACCGAAAAAATTCTAAAAAGGGATCCCGAGGCAACTAAGATCCATGAACGTTTCTATCCTTCAGAGGTGGGTCGGAACAGCCAGAGGTGTCGGAAATCGGAAGGAAAAAAACGCCGGAAATCAACCACAAATAGGATTTTATTGTTTTCTGTCCTCAATAATGGACGATAAATTCATTTTACCTCTCCTCTCTCCTTTCTAAATATTTTAAAAGCCTTTTAATTTAAAAAAAATTAAATTAAGCAAGCAATAAATAATTTCAAAAAATGTGAGAAAGCGAGAATTAAAAAAAGCGAATAAAAGAAGAGAAAAAGGAAGGGAAGGGAACAATCATTTTAAAACAATAAAAAATTTTTTTCTGGCCAAAAATTAAACTCAAAAATTCTCTTCTTTTAAAACATTTTTCTTCTTTTTTCGCTCTTTTGTCAATTTAATTTTTTTTTCTCCTCATTTTTTACTCATTTTCTTTCTTTTCTGGAAAAAAAGGTCAGTCAACTGTTGACGACCTACATTTTTTAAACAATCAATTTTACTAAAATGAGCACTAAACTTTTTTTAAATTACATGAAATTTAATCCTTTAATCTTTCTTTTCTTGTTTTCTCTCATTTTTACCCTGTTAATCTCTTAAATAAACTTTAAAAGCAACTTGGACGTTTCGTCGCCAAGTTTTCATCGCGGGAACCGGGGGTCTTTTTTGCCCTGTAACCTTTTTGTCCTTGAACGGATTTGGATGATTTTGGCACCATTCGAAAGCTATGAGTGTGTAGAATATTTTTGGTGTTGGGATGAAATAAATAGGATTATTCCCTGAAAAGTTATGAGTTAATAAATGAGAGTAATCGGTATTTTTCCGTTATTTTTGGTAATTTTTGGGGATAATATTTTTAAAAATTTTTGAAAGGAAGGATTTGGAGAAGAAAGATATTCTGGACAGTCTTAGCTTTCGAAAGATGCAAGAATTTATTTAAAAATTTTAAATTTGGGGAAGCTATGGGGACTTAGAATTCGTCATATAACGGAACATAAGTTCCGAAAACATTATGCAAAAATTATTAAAAATTTCCTTATAAAAAAATAAAATTATTATTTTTTGGACAGTTTTGCATATTTCTTGTCTGAATTTATTATAAAAAATATTTTTTTCAGAAAAAAAATTTTTTTCTGATTTTGTAAACGTAGAGGGAAAGACTAAACCTTAAAATTATGCAAATTTTTTTCTTTTACGTAATTTTATTTTTTATCAAAATTTTTGCATTTTTCGCCAAAACTAAATAGAAAAAGGGTTTTGTAAAAATGATTTATTATTTAAAAAATAAATATAAACGTAATAAGTTGGATCTTTGATCAAAAAATGAATTTTCCCCCAGAAAATGTTGGTGTAACACCTGACCGAGCATCGTTTATAAAACAGTCAAAAAAGAACCCAAATTTATCAAATTTTGCACAGATATAGTTGGTAGTGTTAACTAACTATTTTATAAATTTTGCAATTTTTGGTTTTGTATTTCAAAAGTTATGGTCGAAAAAAGGCCAAAAATATGCGTTTTCTCTTATAATTCTGACATTTTTGTTAATAACTTTAAAATACAAGAACGGAAAATTCTGAAATTTTTAGAAGAGTTAGATAACACTATTGAGGATATCTGTGCAAAATTTCAAAGCTCTGTGTTTTTATTTGAATTTTTTATAACGTTTATCTGTCGCTACTCTCATTGTCAGTATTAATAAAACTTGTCCACAATGAAATGTTTTTTTCAGAAATTCTGATTTTTTAATTAAACTTTTTCTGATTTTTATTCTTTCAGAAATTCTGATTTTTAAACTAAGCTTATTTTGATTTTACTCTTTTAAAATTCTGATTTTTATGATTCTAAAAATTTTGTTCTTTTTAATTCTGATTTTTTAATTAAACTTTTTCTGATTTTTATTATTTTTAAAACTTCTGATTTTTATCTTTTTTTAATTCTGATTTTTAAATAAACTTTTCTTCTCATTTCTATCCTTTCAGAAATTCTGGATTTTAAACTACTTATTCTGATTTTTACTCTTTTAAAATTCTGATTTTTATTATTGTCTTTTTTAATTCTGATTTTTAAATTAAACTTTTTCTGATTTTCTAGCAGACATATAATTCTGGTTATTTTGACTTTTATATTACAATCAGATGCCATGGGCATTGGTAGTAGCCGAAAGTCTGCTGCAACCTTTATTAATATTTTATTTTTTGTGCTTTTGAGGACTTTAAACGGAAAAATTGCTTCAATTAGTTCTGTCCCCCAAGGAAGTAATCCTCTTTTATATCAACCTGGAATTGACCATATAGTGTTGGTTTTCTTAAAGAATTAAAAAAATCTCGCTTTTTAGACTTTTGGATCAAGACACGTTTTCTGATACAGTTTTTGAGCCAGGCAGAGGGCACTCCTTTGTTGTTGAGTTCTATGCGGATTGGTGAGTGATGAATTTGGGGGTATACTTTAATAGGTACTTGTGTAGTTTACCCCCCATAAGAAAAGGAAGAAAGGAAAAGGGGCGGGGCTTATGGGGGGAGGGGGGGGGGGTAAACTACACAGGTACCCTCTAGTGTCGTATCGAGAACCCCATTTACTTTAGGGTCTGTAGTATAATTAGTGTGGTGCTTGTGCAGTTTACCCCCATAAAGGAAGAGAGGAAAAGGGGCGGGGCTTATGGGGGGTAAACTACACAGGTACCCTCTAGTGTCGTATCGAGAACCCCCTTTACTTCAGAGTCTAGGGTATAATTAGAGTGGTGCTTGTGTAGTTTACGTCCCATTAAGGAAGAGAGGAAAAGGGGCGGGGCTTATGGGGGGTAAACTACACAGATACCCTAAAGTGTCATATCGGGACTCCCAATTACTTTAGGGTTTGGAGTATAGTTAGAGTGTTTCAACTTTGTTGGTCTGAAATTACCATTAGAGTATAGAAAGATTTCCTTAGTCATTAGAGTATGACATATAGTTGGGGGCATTTTGATATTATGGAAGGCGATCTTCTGGAACTTTAAAATCCTCAATTAAAAAATTAATTTAAAGGTGTGGCCATTGTAGAGCTTTTGCCCCCTCCTTTAAACAATTCGCCGCTCTTACTAAACGCTGGTCTAATGTTGTTAAAGTCGGTGCTGTCAACTGCGCTGATTCATTCAACAGCCAGATATGTCGGTCAAATGGAGTCGCCTACTTTCCAATGTTGAAATATTTTTCGAGGAAATCTAAAGGTGTTAATGATGGAATGATTTTTGAGTCTGCACATTCTGGGACTGGTCTACGTGATATTCTCGCTAATAAGGTAGAAATTGAGTAGATTTTTATTTCTGCCACATGAGTCTCAGGGAGCAGCATATTAATTTTAATTTCTGGACTCCAATGGTTGTTCCATACTTTTGAGTCTGAAAAGTACTTTCTGGCTCTAGTGACCGGCAGAATCGTATTTGCGGGATCCCGCATGCGGGAGTAACTTCTAAAAACGTCTGCGGGACGGGAAAAAAAAACGTCTGCGTCTAAAAACGTCTGCGGAGGAATAATCCCGCAAAATTCCGCACTCCCGCAAGATCCCGCAAATTGAAAAAAGTGCGGGATTGCGGGAGTCCCGCTCCGGTCACTATTCGACTCCCAAGAATTAAGCCATCAGAGTTTTTCGCTTTTTATGACTAAGGATCACCTAAGTAGAGTCTCACCACCTTTATGACATCCTTGCTACAGTGCCCTATAGTACCAAATCTTATATCCTAATATTTTTATCAGGTTCTCAACGAATACAAACAAAATAGTTACGAAGATTGGCCAAATCTTAACCCCTTACAAGTCGATGCTCAAACTACCTTTGAGGATCTATGGGATACCCTTGACCAATCCTCCAACTTTTTACTTATACTTTTTGAGAAGAAAGTGGACAGTCCCGCAGTAATTCACTCAATTCTGGATTTATGGCCTAATAAACAACAAATTGGTGTTAGAAGAGCTTCGTCAAATTCTCCTCTAGTTTCTATGCTTGGTAAGGAACATAGGGGGTAGTGTGAAGGGAACATAAGTTTGCAGACTTGTATAATTGCTGAAAGTGACCCTATCGACATGAAATTTGGCTTGATTATCCTTTAGGGTGTTATCTAATAATTCTGAAAATTTCAGAATTTTTGGTAAAGTATTTCAGAAGTTCTGATTTTAAATGTCAGAATTTTCACTATATCTACACATTTTTTAAATATTTTTGGTTACAATTTTTGAAATACTTAACCTAAAATTCTGGAATTTTTAGAGAATGTAGTTGACACCTTTAAGGATATCTATGCAAAATTTTACAACCCCATTGTTATATTTGGCTTATTTATAAGGCCAGGCTTCGCACCAGCTTTACGCCTTACACATCTAAATTACTCAAAAAATTTTCAAAAAAATTTTTTTAAGGAATTTCAAAATTCCCCTATCTTGCACTTTTCAAACGAGGCAATCAACAATCTATATTTATGGATGAATTCCAAGGCCCCAAAACTTTGGATGAGGCAATGCAGAGAGTAGAACCTGGAGACTTCTTATCGTTAGATAGTGAACAACAACAGAGTTTACAGCCAACTAAACCACCTGTGGATTTAATTGATTGTGAAAGATTTCCCGAAAAGTGCGTCTTTAAATTTAAAAAAATTTCGAAAAAAAAATTTCAAAAAAAAAAAATTCAAAAAAAATTTTTTTCTAGGTGCAAAAAACTTTATTATGTCTCAGAGACGGATATGCTTAAAGCTGTATGTCTCGAAATAAAAAATATAATTTAAAAAAAATTAATTTTAGATGAGAATGGCTTTATTGGATGAAGTTACCCGTTTAGGAATACCTATAGAAGGCGATAGATTTCGAAAACTTTATGCCTTTGTTACCTTGTTAAAGGAGGCAAGGAGGGAAAATAATCAAAATTTATTTGAAATTTTCTAGTATTTCCCAATGAAAGTTCTCAACACAGAATCAGAAACAATTAGTCGTAATAAACGAATGGTTGGAAAAGATGACCCTAATATATTGCATAATAGTCGACGAGCAAAATGGGTTATAGGCGATCTGCAACATTTATTAGAAGGGAAAACGTCAGCCGTTATTTCTGTGGAAGAGTGGAGAAACCACTTTGAGAGAGTTGAGGTAGAGAAATAAAGAGAGAATATAATAGATGTTTCCGGAAAGATTTTTCCGGAAATAATATTTCATAGAGGGACTATGAAACAGTATCTGTATTCGTAGAATAGACATTTCCGGAAAGTTTTATATTTTCCGGAAAGCTTTATATTTTCCGGGAGGTTCTATATTTTCCGGAAAGTTTTATATTTTCCGGAAAGCTTTATATTTTCCGGGAGGTTCTATATTTTCCGGAAAGTTTTATATTTTCCGGAAAGCTTTATATTTTCCGGGAGGTTCTATATTTTCCGGAAAGTTTTATATATTCCGGAAAGCTTTATATTTTCCGGGAGGTTCTATATTTTCCGGAAAGTTTTATATTTTCCGGAAAGCTTTATATTTTCCGGGAGGTTCTATATTTTCCGGAAAGCTTTATATTTTGCAGAAAATTTTATATTTTCCGGAAAGTAACAAAATTCTAGGGCTTCTTCGGCTATCCATTCGTTCAAAATGAAACTTGGCAGCATTGCGCTGGTTCCAGCTCAGAATTTCGTGGGTACACCTGTGGCTTGTGGACTACATTTCATGCTTTAACAGCTAATGTAATTATCACACACAGCAAAAATAGTAAACAAAATATTCTTATTTTTAAAATTTAATTTTGAATTCAGCTGGTATCGCCCCGAATCCATTGGGTCCCCTCAAAGCAATTCAGGGTTGGGTAACCTCATTCTTTGGTTGCGAACATTGTCGGCAACATTTTATGAAAATGACTACGCAAACATTTCCAATGAGTGAACAAAGAGTGTTCCGCCTCAGTGATATGCTTATGTACTTGTGGAGAGCACACAATATTGTAAATGCTCGTCTGCACGGGACAAATACGGAGGCATAAAAAATTTGAAAAAATTCCAAAAAAAAATTTTTTCCATTTTTAGGACCCTCAATTTCCAAAATACCAATTTCCTCCTCTTTTCCTTTGTCCAAAATGCCATGCTGGTGGGCACTTTAGCAGAAGGCAAACACGAAATTTTTTGCTTAGTTATTATGGCTCTGTTCGCCCCTATCATAGAGCGTGGAATGCTGGGAAACAATAAATTAATATATATTACAAAGCTGCATAGATTCTGTTTTCTTTCCGGAAAGTTTTATATTTTCTACTTCCTTCCGGAAACTATAATTATGATTTACCTATATATTAACTCTTTCCGGAAAGTTGTATTTTATGAATAAATATTCCTTCCGGAAACTATATATTCTTTCCGGAAAGTTTTCTATTTCCTTCCGGAAAAATTCTGATTTGTATTTTCTTTCCGGAAAGTTTTCTATTTCCTTCCGGAAAAATTCTGATTTGTATTTTCTTTCCGGAAAGTTTTCTATTTCCTTCCGGAAAAATTCTGATTTGTATTTTCTTTCCGGAAAGTTTTATATTTCCTTCCGGAAAAATTCTGATTTGTATTTTCTTTCCGGAAAGTTTTCTATTTCCCTCCGGAAAAATTCTGATGTGTATTTTCTTTCCGGAAAGTTTTATTCTATTTCTCTAATTTTCTATGTAGCTCTCTCACAATATACGCACAACACAACGGGTTATCCCATCCCACCAACATTATATGCCCAATACTTGCTTTTTGTCTCTTTTCTCTAGTATGGGGTCTCTAAGGTTTTTGATGCAATATTTTTAGTTTTTATTTTTTAATTTAATTCAATCAAATCACTAAATATTTGGACATTTTTATGTCGTTTGTAGTTATTTTTTGTATAAAAAATAAAATATTTTTAATTTTAAAGTTTTTTGCTGATCATTAAATATTCGTTTTGTTTAGCTTCAACTTCTTTAAGGCTTTGTAATTCAACATATAGCCGTTCCAATTCCTTTTGTTTTTCGTTTAACAGAAGCTTTGAATATTGATATAATTAAAATTTATTCCAAAATAAAATTTTATTCTGATTTCTTTCCGGAAAGTTGTATTCTATTATTTAATATAGTATTTCTTTCCGGAAACTTAGGCTGATATATAATTTTATTTCCGGAAAGTTTTCTATTCTCTATTTATTTCCGGAAAGTTTTCTATTCTCTATTTATTTCCGGAAAGTCTTATATTCTCTATTTATTTCCGGAAAGTTTTATATTCTCTATTTATTTCCGGAAAGTTTTATATTCTCTATTTCCTTCCGGAAATTAATTCTGTCTCACTAATATCGTATTTCCGGAAAGTTCTAACTAGTCACCTGCAATTGTTGAGTTTCTTCTGAAGAGGTACTATTTCCACTTTTGTCTAGCTGATTCTGCAGTGTGAGTAAACGAAGCCTTTCTCCATCCGTGATTCGCCCAATCTTTTTTTTGGAAATTTAAATTAATTCTTAAAATATTTTTTTTCGAGAAGTATACCTTCTCCATAGCCTCTCTAACATCACGAACCGTTTTAATAAAATTATCAAATTGCCCAATAAACTGTTTTCCTTCTTTTACAAGACTGCTAGATGACTCTAGCAATGCTAAACAAAATTTTTAAAATTAATTTTTTTCCTTCTTTCACCTGGATTAACAAGTCTAATATGGTTTAGGTCGTCAATAAAAACTTTACGGTTAGCAAAATCATCGTCGCCTTGAAGATCCATTTATTTTCTTTTAATTTTTTGAATTAAAAAATTTTTTTCGAATTAAAAAAATATTTTTCAATTTTTTAAAATATTCTAATAAAGAAAAAAAATTCAATAAAATTTACCAAAAAATTTTTACTTAAGGAAAAATAGGCAAAATCTTGTAGTCATGGAAACGAATAAAAAATGGATCAATTTTAGGTGTGAATTGAAAGAAAATTTTTTTAGAAAGGTTTAAGTATTTAAAAGCTGTTCGTTAAATAAAAAGAAAAATATTTTTAAATGTTAGATTAAAATTTTAAAGAATTGTGTTGGCAAATAAATGCTTTTTAAAGTACAGATAAAGAAAAATAGAAAAGAATAGAAAAAACCACGGGTTTTAAATTAAATCACAGGTTAATAATTCCCTTATTTATGTGCAGAGTGCAAAGTGCCCGAAATTGGAAATCTGAATTAAATAAAAAATATTTTTAAAGAACCCTCAGAGCTGTGATAAAATATGGTTAGAGAATATAAGATTAAATACTTAAAACCTTCCGGAAATGTCTAATTTTTGATATACTATTTTCTTTCCGGAAAGTTATGTCGTCTTTTAATGAAGTCTATTAAATAATAGATAAGAAACTTTCCGGAAATGTCTAATTTTTTATATACTATTTTCTTTCCGGAAAGTTATACTTTTAATGGTGTCTATTAAATAACAGACAGGAAACTTTCCGGAAAGAAAATAGTATACCAAAAATTAGAATATTCCGGAAAACAAGACAAGCATAAGAAATTTTTATATACTATTTTCTTTCCGGAAAGATATATTAAATAACAGAAAAGAAACTTTCCGGAAAGAAAATAGTATATCAGAATTAGACATTTCCGGAAAACAAGGGAAGCTTCAGAATAAATATAACAGCTCTGATTTTTTAATTATAGGAAATATTTTAAATAAAAATTTTTTTAAATAATCAGTCGGATACAACCAACTGTGTATTATCGTCCTCTCTTTCTAGATCAGCATTCAATCCAACAACTGAAAGCGTTGCGGGTACGGGTGTAACCGGATTTGAAACCTGATCATAAGTATCACTTTCCTATAAAAAATAAAAGTATTATAAAAGTAAAGTCTATCCTAAAAAAGGGAGAAATTAGATTAAAAATAAAGAAAAAAATTTCCTAAATTTAAAAAAAAATTTGAAAGTTCTACGAGAATATGTAAATAGATCAGAAATGTCAGTATAAAACTTAACGAGAAAAATATTTTCCGGAAAAACTACCAGAAAAAGAAAATATTTACTAACAGTCTTTTTATATGACAGAATTAAAACATCAGAATTAATATAGGTATATTGGATTTTTCCGGAAAGAATTAAATACAGAATTAAAACTTTCCAGAAAAAGAAATAGAGAATAAAAATACATCAGAATTAATACCGTGTGTTTCCGGAAAGAATTAATTTAATCAGAAATAACTTTCCGGAAAAAGAAATAGAGAATAGAATATGTGGTGAATTTTCCGGATAGAGAATAAAATTAAATACGTTTCCGGAAAGCATTAGGTATATCAGAATTAAAACTTTTTAAAAAGCTCAAGGTTAATTTAAAACTTTCCGGAAAGACTTTAATTCTGATTTTTTTCCAATTAAACAAACTTTATGAGGGTAGAGAACATAGTGTTGAATGATGAACAAAACATCAAAAATAATCTAAAAAATAATTGAAACAAAAAATTTTTTTCAAATTTTTACCGAAACAAAGCCTAGACCAAATTTGACAGGATTACCAACAAAAGCACTCCAATCAGCTAAATAAAAAATTAAAAAAAATTTTTTTCATAAATCAACCTGTATTTTTTGCTTGTAAAATCATCTGTAAAATATCCATTGTACCCCCAGTAGCATCTAATAAAACATTTCCAATACTCCAACCAATCTTTAAAAAAGAAAAAAAAATTTTAAAAATTATATTTTAAAAGGCAGAAAATTTAAAAAAATTTTTTTTTAATTTTTCTCTTTTAAAAAAGGAAAAAAAATTGAAAAATAAAGAGGCAAGGCTTTAAAAACTAAAAAAATTCCTGAAAAAATTTTTTTTAATCCTGAAAATTTTTAATTAGGGGATTCGAAATTTTTTTCGGCTTTGAAAAGTAAGAAAAAATTATTGAAAAAAATTTTTTTAAAGGATTAGAAATTTTATTAATTTTTAAAGATTTGTTTCTTTATTTTTAATCATTTTTTTCTCTGCCTTTTTTAAAAAATTATTTTCTTTAATCTTTCTAAAATCAGAAAAGCAACCATAATGCGAGAGCTGCGTCGAAATAAAAAAATCTTCTAAAATCGGAAATCGAAAAAAAATTCAAAAAATCGAAATTTCGACGAAGCTCTGAATAATGCTTACAAGACGGAAAAGAATTATTTTTAATGCAAAATTTTTTAAAAATTTTCACGCGCATTTTTTTCTTTTTTTTCATACTTAATTAAACAAATCAGGGTCAATTTTTTAATTAGTTACACAAAATTATTTTTAAAACTTTCCACTCTACTCCTCCCCCCCCCCTATCTATACAAAAAATATTTTTTGTATAAATTTTTTGAATATTTCCAATAGAAAATAAATAAAAATTTCTTTTAAAAAATTCTTCTCTTACCGTGCTTTTCCGTTTAAAATTAAGAATTGCTTGCGGAAAATATTTGCTAAGTGTAACAGCCATTTTTACATATGAAAGATAATTAATAAAATCCAGCCAATTGAAAAAACTAAATAAAGCTAAAAGAAGGGATAAAGAAGAAAATCCAAGTAAAATTGAAGCCCAAATTCGACAAGTGTAGGAAATACGTTGAGTGCCTCTCTAAAATTTTATTTTTAATTTGTTTAAGAAAAATATTTTTTTTTGAATTAGGGTTGTTCACGATCGGTGGTTAATCGTCGCCAGTGGCGGTTCAAATATGTATAAGCAACCCTAATTTTAATCAAAAATAAAATAAAAATAATTTGAAGTTAAATACCAAAAATACAACGTAAAATCGAAAAAAAAATTTTAATTGATAAATATTATCAAAAAAATAAAAATATTTTGGACAATGAGTGACTGAGACAAATTATCCCTTAAAATTTAACAAAAACTTTTCGGGTAGAAAAAATTAAAAAAAAATAGGGTTTAGCAAAACAGCAAAACGAGTTTTTATAATTTAAATTAACCGAAACTGGAGGGTAAAACCAAAGAAATTAAAAATTAATTAATAAAAAACCTCATAAATAAAGCATTGCAAAGCCGTAATTAAGCAGGCAAACAAAGCCTGTCCAGAAAATATAACATCGTTTAACAAAACGGGTATAAGGCTTCTATTTCCATGTCTGGCAATGTAAATATCCTGAACTATTGGGTCGAAATAAAGCAAAAGATTGTAAATTGTGTAGCAGAAAAAGCCGATAATGTTGAGAAGTAAAAAATCAAAATTTAAACCGATAACGCTGGAAAATTGGAAAAATAAATTTTTTTAAAGGTAAATTAGGGTTATTAATAGCCGGTTAATCTTAGCCTGTGGCGGCTCAAAATGTCATTAAATTTCCCCATTTGAGCAGCCACAGGGAAAATTAACTGGCCATGAAAACCCCCAATTTAAGTATTCTAATAAAAGCCAGACTAGACCCTGGAAGATCTATCGATACGGCTCATATTTAAGTCCACTCAGAGACCTATTGAAAAAATAGAAAAGTTTGGAGCTTACGCTCTCTCAAAAATTTCAAAGTTCAATCTATTTTTAAGTGAATTTTAAAATTGTTATCAAACAAAAAAATGTTTTTTTAATGGAAATATGTAGTAAGGCATATCCAGGGGGAAGATTTCGGATGGGGAGGGGGGCTTTAGCCCCCTGGACACACCCTTGGGAAATAGACTTAAAAAATTTTTTTGAAAAAATGTAAGAACTATGCCAAAAAGTCCTTAAGAGTTAAATCTTACTTAAAGTCCCGAAAAAAATTTAAAAAAACAAAGAGACAAATTGTCTAAATTTATTTAAAAAATCTAAAACTTTATAAAAAACCACTTTAAAATTCAAAAAAACCTCTTCCTTTGCCAATTCAAAATAATTTGTGGATAAAAAGAAATACTCCAAGCAGAAAAATAAATCCAGCCCGTTACAATTACCAGTACAGAAATTACAGAACTACGTGCAACAACTAGGCGAACAAAAACATCTTCCTGGCTGAAAAAAAATAAAATAAAAAAATATGTTAATCTTCAATAAATTCGGGAATATGACAAAAAACATAATAAAATTTACATAAAATAATAAAATTGGAAAATGTGATTTTTACAGAATTTTAACATTTTTTTAGTAAAAACTACAAAAATCTTAAAATATAAACTACAAAATTTGGTACTCTAATTAACAGTTAGGTCTAGAGACGGGAACGGGATCAGGACCCGGTCGCGTTTCCCCGTTCCCGTCTTTTTTGAAGATGCCGGGATGCAACCGGGATCGAGAATTAACGGTCCGAGTCCCGGACGGTAAATTTTCATTTCCCGTTCCAGGTTTTTTCAAAATTCCGATCTATAGTTAGTCCCATCGCCAATTGTCCCATAATTGCCAGATTCCTTCTCAATTTTTCTATGTCATTCTCAATTGAGAGACACTGATTTAAAATGAAAATAGAATTCATTGAGAGGAAGAAGTCCTAACTAGGGTAGCACCCCGTCCCACAAAACTCCGACGAATTTTTAGGCAAAAACCCCGACCCATACCCCGAAGGCTCGGAGTGTTACACAAGTCAAGATTACTATAAGACGGCTGAAGAAGGGGGATGAGGAAGTAATGGAAAATATCTAAATCCTAACAAGGATCAGATGCTACGAGACAAAAAATCCCAGATTTACTTAAAGCCAAAAAAAGGTCAAAATTTCTTTAAAAATTTTTAAAAAAGCTTGAATATACTTGAAAGGACATTTTCCAACACGTCTTGTACCATTAGTAAGAAAGCAATCTTTCAAATCAATAAATGTCCTGCTGCTAAGTGAAAGACCAACGACTGACAAATGGCCAGTTGAATCATTACCGGGATTGAGAATAAGACGAGTTGGGGTTACGTTGAGTATATTGTGATCAAAATCGAAAATAAGCTCCAAATGGGCGTGCAGATGTCCTCTAAAAATTATTTAAAAAAATTTTTTTTGGGAATTTTGAAAAATTTTTAAAGACACATTTTCTCCAAAAATGTGATTTTATCATAGAAAATGAGAGAATTTTTTGAAATTTTCTTTTTAGTTTTACAATTAAATGTGATTTTATTTTAGAAAATATAAATTCTATGTATATACTACTAAAATATAAAAAAAATATTTTTTTTTATCTTTTCTGATATGTTTTTAATCCCTGACCGAATAAATCCCTTAATTTATAAAACGAGGTTTTCCAAAAAATAAAAATAACTCTCCCTCAAATAAATAAAAAAATTAAAAAAATAAAGCAATTCCTACAAGTACCCAAAAATCACACCCTAAAAAACATGTTAACTCTTTAAAATTTAATTTTTTGAGATTTTTCCACGTTCTAAAATTCTAAAAAAAATTTCCGAAAGGACATTTTGTTCTTTTCAATAAAAAATTTTATTTTATTTCCAAAAACAACAAAAAAACCTGTAAGTAAACTGAATATCTTCTTTCACTCCAATTATAAGATTTAATTCTTCAGGGAATTCCAAATCCAGTTTTTTGGCATCAACATCCTTAAAATGCCTATCATTTTCAATTTCTATAAATTCTGAATCCTCTTTAATGCTCAATAAAGTACATGGAAGGAAGAGAATGAAAAATATAATTTGAGTAGTAGAAAGCATTCCAAGGGTTAATTGAATGTAAATTGAGAGAATTAAAGTAAGAAATGTTGTTGTTGACTTAGAAAATTTATTTTAAAAAAAATTTTGTTTATTAAAATAAATACATATTTATGTAAAGAAAAAGAATAAAAAAAGAAAATTTTTATCTGAAAAGGAATTTTATAAATTTTTAAAGATAAAAATTAAATGCAATTATTAATCATTTTCGCAAGGAAAAAGCAACAAACAAACACAAAAATATTTTTAAAAATGAAAAAAATAATTAAAATAGCGAACGTATAATTAAGGAATTGATAAAAGAACGTGAACAAAACATGATTATTTGTCAAAAAATTTTGTTTAAAATTAACGAATATGTATTATAAAGGGGAGGGGAATATTGCAATCAATCTGTGGGATGGGGAATAGAGATCGAGATTTTTGAAAAGCCTGGGCCTGGGCCGGATCCTGGGCCCGTAGTCCAAGAAAAACCCAGGCCAAGGAAAAACCCAGAAAGGCCAAAAAATGCCTGGGCCTGAACTCTGGGTAGAGAAAAACCAAGCATTTTTTTCTCTAATGGGAAATAATCGAGAGCTTGAAATCTGAACTCGAGTTTTGAAATTTTAATTAACAGTAAAGCACCTGGGGAGGGAAATTATTATTTCAACCCATCCCTGGAATAGTGAATTAATCGAGGATAGGGTTAGGGGCTCGGTCCGGTCCGAAAGATCGAGTTGGGCATCGAATTTTGGCCTGAAGAAGACTCGGTCGGGTCGATCAGAAAAAATGACCCATCGAAACACCGACACGAAAACTCCAACCCTAATCGAGACCCAGCTTGAAAAGCTTTCGAATGAATATAATAAATCATAATTAAGCAAAAAAGCTCAAAATGGTCATTGAAACAGAAAAAATAGAGAGGGTATCAGCCAACATATTACCGAAAATACGTTATTTTTAGTAAATTTTTACTTTAAAAAATCATAAAAGTTTTGCAATAAAGAGAGATTAAGTAAATTTTTAAAAAAAAAGTTGGGGGAAAAAATAAAAATATTGTTTTGTTTGCTTTAGAATGATGTAATTTAACAGAACCATTACAGCAATAAAAATAAATACTAGTTTTATTGAATTTACAAAACTGGACGGGGTTTTTATGCAAATAATGTCAAAAAAATAGTAACGGCCCTGTGGATTAACACGAAAAGATTAAAAAGGGGATTAACAAAAATCATGACAATTCTGTAGGCAAAATGGAAGATTTTGACCGAGGTGACATTTTGTCGTTTAGGTATTTTGTAATTTATTTGGAAGTGGATGGACAATTGGCCACAAAATTTTTTCGTCACATACGCTAAAATTTAAACAATTCTAATATGTAGGCAAAATGAAAAATTTTACCTGATGTGACATTTTGACGTTTAGTTATTTTGTAATTTAATTTTTGTTGGATGGACAATTGGCCACAAAATTTTTTGTCACGTCACCAAAATTTAAGACAATTCTAATCTGTAGACAAAATGGAAGATTTTGCCCGCTGTGACATTTTGTCGTTTAGATATTTTGTAATTTAATTTGTGTTGGATGGACAATTGGCCACAAATTTTTTTTGTCACAACGCTTAAATTTTGAGGGTTGTTTAGTTTTTTTTATTTTTTTTAAGTTTTTCTTTTCAAAGTTGAAGTAGAATGGCATCAAGTATAAGTTCAACATCTCCAAAATTTATTATTAATGAAAATTACAAAAATAATGAATTCAAAAATAAAATAATTTCAATTCTTGAAGGTTTGATTTTTTAATTTTATTTTTAAATTAAATTTTACTTTAAGGAAATCATGAAGATTCTCATCCATTCCCGCATTTTCATCTCACAGATTTTCTCACAAATTTATCATTGGTTAAAGGTTTGGAATTTAATTTATAGTTAGATTTCTCTTATACGCCTCAGGGCTTAAAAAGTCGTACCTTATAATGAGGTGTGTCTTAAATAGAGGGTTATCGCTCGGACTGTTCTCTCAGCCCATTGAACCAGGGATAGGTCGAGTTACCCGAAATTCGGACCTTTTTTTCGATCTGAAACTCGGAAAAATCGTGCCTTATAATGAAGTGTATCTTAAATAGAGGGTTATCGCTCTGACTGTTCTCTTCTCTCATAAGATCAGGATGGGTAGATTTATCTGAAATTCGGACTTTTTTCGATCTGAAACTCGATATGACTTTTTTTCTTAATCTGGTCCATCCTCAAAATTAGAGACGGATAAACAAAAACTCCTGAGAGAGACATATGATCCCATTAGACAGAACATTTCCGCGCACAAATCCCTGCATTGTCCTACCAAAGATAAAATGTGTCTTAATTTGTGGAGTCTCTTATAGAGGTGTTCTGACTAGGGTTGCCAAAATGGACCGACTCGGACCGAAAGATCGAGTCGGGCCTAGATGCTTGGCCCGAAAAAGACTCGTACCGGCCCCACTCGATAAAGTTAGGCCCGAAAAATGGCTCTGAAAACTCCGCCCGACTCTTCTTTTTAATAAATTTCTCTTTGTAGATCTCAAAAACGAATTGAATTCTGTTGCTTGGATACCAAAAAGTAATGATCTATTATCTTTAAATCAGACTGTTGACATTGCCAATTTACTTGAAGAACACTACCCGATTTTATAGTATTTTTTAATTTTTTTTTAAAGTTAAATAATTTTTATTTAAGTAATTTTCGTCAATTTTTGATTAATGATGTAAGGAGATGGCTTATGTTAATGACTGGTGTTCAATTAGGCGAAAAGCTGGCATTGACCGGATCACGTTATTCAAGTGGGGATTGTTTGTTGACACATGATGATAAACTTGAGGTTGTTTTACTTTTACACCCCTTACATTAGTTTGAACTTGGTAGTCAATATGGGGATTCGGGCTTGATTTGTTAGACCAACTTTACGGAGCAGGCATGTAGACGGGGGTCGTGGAGGGGATATTTTGAAATGTGAAAATGGAAAGATAAGTGAAGAATCGGTAAAGAAAAAGTAAATTTTCGTCTATTATGTCCTTTCTAACTTTTCATAATTTTCTTCAATTTATTGCGCCGCAGACGAAAATTTTTTTAATTTTGAAGGTTGTTTGTGGCCATATTTTCCCCCTTTCTACCATTTCAGGGGAGGCTCTAGTTCACCCCCAGTCCCCTAGATACGCCCTAGATACTGACATGAGAATAAGTTCTAGTTATAACCCAATAGGCTCAAATCCTAGACCTGAAAGTTTCCACTTAGGTGTTTTTTCTGATCGTTCACAAAAATTATATTACCAGAAAGAAAATAAATTTTATTTTAGGGCCGCGCTTTTGCCTTTGTTCTGTATCTAAATACTGATTGGGCAGTAGAAGATGGAGGCGATCTATGCCTTTATAATTGTGATCAAACTACAAAATTTCCTGAAAAGATAATCAAAAGAATCAGACCTATAGAGAATAGTTTCAGCCTTTTCCGTGTCCAAAACAATTCTTGGCATTCTGTTTCTGAAGTTTTAAGTGAAGGAAAAGAACGTTTATCACTCAATGGATGGTTTCATTACCCTGAAGACGTGGAAGTTTTGTTTGTTGGGGATTCCCCTGTTCTAGAAGAGCCTATCCCACGTACAAAACCTTCTATGGATACAACGGTTATTTTTTTAAATAAAATTTAAAGAGTAGAGAAAAGACATGAAAAGGATAGCTCGAAAGTCAAACTTTAATCAGCTATAACTTTTCGATTTGAGGGTCGGGGCCAAAAAAGCTAAAAAAAATTGGCAGTAGGTTATCGACCCTGCTCTATCCGACTAGAGATAGGAATTTTGAAAAAACCGGGAACCGGGAAACGGGTTCTGAAGGTCGACCGGGAGGGACCCGGACCGGGAAAACCGGGAATTCCCGTTCCCGGTTTCATCCCGGTCAAAAATGACCGGGACCCGGACCGGGAAACCGGGAAATTTAAAAAAATTTTAAATTCATTTAAAAATTTTAAAAAATTATGGGCGTAGTTATTTATTGAAAAATCTGATTTATAAATAGAAGAATTTAATAAATCAGTTGTCATAGTTTAATTATTATATAAATTATTTCACGCCCATTTCGTTTGCCAATAAAAGGGGAAGGGAGAACCGGGCAAAAAGCTCATTCTTGACTTTAATTTGCACCAAAGTTTAGCCCGGTGCTCCCTTTCCCTTTAATTTAATTATTTATATTTATTTTTGCGTGATAAAATTTGTTAAAGGGAGCTAGTCTTTAATCGTTAAGGGGAGAACGCCTTTCGCGCCCCGAGAGTGAGCCGTCGCTCATTCTCGGGGCCCAACGAAAGAGTGGGGGCCCATAATATGGTGCTCCCAGGCGGCACACGATTTTTACACTAAATATAATTTATATTAAAAATTTATTTTAAACATTTTATAAACTAGTTTTTACTGTTTTTTCTGTTTAATTTTGTGTTTAATTTTTCTCTTTTTGCCCCAATTTTTTGCAAAAATTTATAGGCGGTGGTTTAATTTTTTCAACCCGCATTTTTTTTTATCGCCTCATCCATCAAAAACCCCACACCCGTTTTTTTTCCCAATTTGGCGAATGTGAAAAATTTTGTGTGTAATTATTTCCACCCGAGTAAATGCATTAATTAATCACTCTAATTTTTCTCCAAAAAACGCCCAAATACCCGGTGTAAAATTCCTTTTAAAGAAAAGAGTTTGAGTTCTCGTAACCATTTATAAATTTTTTTTAAATCTTTTCAACCCGAATTTTTTTTTCTTTTCTTTTTTTTCTTTCTCCTTTTTGCGCGCGGCTCTCCCCATTAACCCAGTCTCATTCTTCTTTGCTTCATCCCGAGTAGATGTATTATGATAGAAACTGAGTTGTTAGTTACTGTCTTATTCGGGCATTTCTCGGATGTAAGTCTTCAATTCCTCATTCCCGGGACCAAAATACCCTCACACAAAGGAAGGTACTGATAGGTCAGACGGTTAGAAATTCAGAGAGGGAAAGGAATAATTGGTTGGTAGGCTTCGTTTATAATTCGAGTAAATAAAGGGGAGTAAAAATCTTCAAAAGAAAGCACTAAAATCAATCAACAATTTTATTAATCAACAAAAATCAGGGTAGCCATCCAAAACCTTTTGGGGATTTTTTTCCTTGTCTCGATTCTGGGAAAATTTTCGGTCTTGGACAGCTCAAAAAATCCATAATTATGGGTTAAATTTGAAGGGTTTCCGTATCATCGGGAAATCACGATCTTCACGGGCATCTCTTTTCTTCCACGCCAACCCCAAAAGTATGAGCAGCAAGAAAGTCGAGAGGGAGGTCAAAGCCAACATGAAGATCTCCCAAAGGGCCATTCCATTTCCACCGGGGTGGAAAGTGGGAGCAGTTTCAGCACAGAAAACTGGCTCCTCCCACTGGTCCACCCCCCAGCAATGCTTGGTGCAATTATGGTGGGGAAAACAAGTCCTGGTGTAGAATTTCACGTCCTTGAGCGCTAAAAATAAATTCCAATTTTGTCCCAAATCCCTCACCACCCCAGGGTAAATCCGGCCGGTTTGCCAGGGGGTCCCATTACCGGGCAATAAAAAGCTAGCTACTAAAATTTAAATTAAGGGTGAGGTTAAATTTCGGGCAAATATTAAAATTTATTATTAGAGAAATTAAGGGAATAAAATTTCATTTCTAAAGAATATATTTAAAAATAAACTGGAAGGAAGTGAAATTGACACTGAAGGATCTGAAACCCAAGTGGAAGAAGATATTTTAGAAGAAAGAAATACTAGGGAGGCTAGATACAATAGGTATTTACAAAAAAGGGAAGAAAGTAGGCTGAAAATGGATAGAATTCAAACGAGGGTGGCCAATTTGGAGGAAACGATGATGGAAAGAAACTCGATGGGACTACCTCTTCCCTCTTGCTATAATGGTTCAGACGATTTTCTAACGTATTTGAAGGAGTTTAATCGGGTGGCTACAGGGCATGGGTGGCAACCTCCGAGATGTTGCCAAATCCTCCCTATTTACTTGAGGGGTGCTGCTCTAGCAATTTACGAGGGGATGCCAGAGGAAGAGAAAAATACTTGGAAGAACTTGGTTGAAGGATTAGCTAATAGATTGAAGAAAATATCCACGAGGGAAGTGGCGAGGTTGAAAATGATAGAAAGAAGGCAAAAGGTGGGCGAGACCGTGGATGAGTTTGCCCAATCACTTCGTACCTTGGTCGAGCGGGCGTATCCGGATTCCTCTTTGGACGTGGATCTTGCCGCCTTAACTCTCGATCCGGCGGTAACAAATAATGTCAAGGGTGAACTGGGGAAGATGACCAAACGGTTCAGGGACGAACAGTGTAGGGATCGCTTCCGAGCGGGACTTTTACCAGAAATCAAGGAAAAAATCATATTCATGGACGACCCCCGTTCCCTGAATGAAGCAGTATCGCAAGCGAAGCGAGTTGAGGAATTAAATAGTTCAATAAAAGAGGATGTTTGGCGAAGAACTAAGGAGGTGGAAGTAAAAGCAACCTTAGCAGAAGTTAATGAAATACGGGCAAATAGGGATCGGGAGATGAATGGAATAAAAAATGAACAAAATTGGCACACACAAAATTACAGACAAAATAACTATTCCCGAGGAAATCAATGGGGGCAAAGAGGAAATAGGGGAGAATGGCGAAGGGGGCCGGCGAATCAATTTCAGGCATGGAATCAGGGCTATAGAGGAAACCAAAATGCGCGGAATTTTCGCAATCAAAGAGGACAAAGATGGACTCCAGGCCCCAGCAGAAACTCAAATTCAATCCCGGTACTGGGTGGCGGCACTAGCGGGGCTCGAGGAAGGGGCACAAATTTTCAAAGAGGGGCATACAGAATAAATGAAACCAGCTTCCCCTATATATGCTTTTTGGCTATGATTTGTTTAATTCTACCACTGACAAATGGACAGTTCCAAATTTGCCCTAATTTCCCCGAGGGAACAGGAATTGTCATGAATTTTCCAAAGGATCATAATTGCACAATCAAACTTGAGGAGATACCGGAACTTGCTAAAATAAACATTTTTGTACCGATTCGATTGCCCAAGAAATTCCCCGTGATTAGGTGCCAGAAATGGGTTGTGAGAATGTGCACAGAGTCATACCTGGGAATTTACAGCAAAGAGAAGGATGCCAATATAGTTTTTATACAAATTTCTAGGAAAGAATGCTGGCACACCTGGGATACTCAATTATTGCAGAGACGAGAGGAAAACGTCTGGCAGACCCCTAGTAACTGGGATAAAGAGTATTCATTTTTTGGGGTTAAATGCAAAAACGTAACAGGAATAACTCTGGAAGAAGGTTCAGGGGCAATACTTGATGGGAGAAAATTAGTGACTAGTTGGGGGGACGAATTTTTAATTAGTAAAAGACAAGATGAAAATGAAGGATGGACAAAAACCCCGGAAATTGAAGAAATACTAATGTGGAGGATACCGGACCAAACTTATTGGAATACTCATTTTCGGGTAGGGCCAGTGAGTGCTGAAATTTGGTCTCCAAGAGCCATTGTTGTTGACGAATTGCAGTATTCGTTTATATATCACAAAAATGCCACCCACCCTGAAAACTTGCATGGTTTACCCGAATTGGCAATTCGAATGGAAAATGACGTCTTTGTTGAAATAATTAAGGAAAAATTGGAAAATAAAACAAGGGTCAAAAAACAATCCGGGACTGACTTTTTAAAGAAAAACCGAAAATTGTTTGAAGCAAGGACGTCCACACAGGGAACTACCCCGAGGGTACAAAGCATAGAGACAACCCTTCCGGCTACGGTTAACCAAAAACCAATAACCCGCACAGAAGAGACCAGAACACCTATATGGAAAGTGACCCCTTCCATGCGAAGTTTAATGCCAGTAACAGAAAGACCAAGGACCGTTATTTCGACTACCACGACCCAGAAGCGAATTCCTGCTACAAAAGAACTAAGCCTGACAACCCCAAGTATTACCAGACTGACCACAACCACTCTGAGAGCTAGGACTACGACGAGAACGCCCCTAACCCCAACTACCTCGAGAAGATTAATTTTTACAACCACAGTCACCCCGAGAAAAATCATGACCACCAGTACCCCAAGAATTACAAGCACCCCAAGGACCACCACGCGGAGAGTAACTTATTCACTAAGACCCGCAACAAAAATACGAACATCGACCCAAAGTGCCCCTACCACGAGGAAAATGGAAATAACGACCAAAACCCCGGTTATTGTGGAAAAGCCCCTGTCGAGAATGAAGCCGGAAGGTCCGGGGGGTGAAATAAAGAAAATTCAGATTCCTCAAAAACTGATTGCGACAACAGAAAAGAGTACAACCACAGTGGTGATAAAAAGGGACGTGTCCGAGAAGCCATGGATTGACCTGGGGGATGAAAGTCACTCTAACTCCAGACTTAATTACCTGGACTGGAAAACAGAGCAAAGAAGGGTAGTAGAAGCGAGGGAAAAATGGATAAACGATTGTCATAACAGGAATACTCAACTGGCCATTGCACGAACATTAGCGAGGGAGATGCCTGAGCAAGCGGCGCGATCGCTTTATAACCGGGATGATATAACAGCACACTTATTAAATTCGCACGAAGGCCAACTGAAATGGCAAATAAATAGGTGCCAGCAAGTAAAAGCTGAATCAATAGAATGGAACCAGATGATTGGGCAGGATTGTTACAAAGAAATTCCCGTGACTGTAAAAAATCGGAAATATTTTTTGAAACCAGGGGGGAGAGATCTGATGGAAGAAGGCACAAAAATTAGTTGTTCGCGAAAGAAGAAAATAAGTGATCAGAAATTGAAAAATACCACAAAAATGGAGGAGCTAAATTTAAGGGAATCTTTCAAATCTAGTCCGCATATTAATCGACAAAACCCACTCATTTTTAATTTGGGAAGTATTTTTGAGTCAGAACAAAATAGACTGGACCAAAACTTACAGGACCTTACAAAGAGAGTAAATCGACCGGAGTTAACGTTTCCGGAAGATGAAGCTAGTGAAGACGAAATTACTGAAGAAAAGAACATAACTCGCGGCACAGTTAGAGCGGTCCTGGCCCATGGGAATAAAGCCATTCAAACTGTAATAGAAAAGGGAAACGTCATAATAACCAAATCAACTGAAGTCCTAGAAAAGGGTACAAATTTTTTACAAGACCCCTTCGGAATAATGTCAACAATAAAAATGATTGCAATAATAATGGCCTGCGTCGCAATTTTGATAGGGCTCTGTGTGATTTATTGGAAAGGGAAAATATATTTTATGATTGTTATAAATGGGATGAGAACGGGAATAAGATTTGCAAACATGATGTTAAATTTGATTAAACCGAGAAGAAAATTCAGACAATCCCTTACAGTAGCCGCAGTGGAAAAGAGGCTAACCCCGACAGCGCCTTTAGCTGAGGAAATATTGGAGGAAGAAGCCTATATTCTAGATTTTATACCAAAAGTCTATCAAGTAGGATCGAAAAAACGAAGGTGTTACGTAAATATAAGCTTAAATGGAAATAAAACAAGGGCACTTTTCGATACGGGGGCTGATATAACATATGTGAGCCAAAAAACTGCACAATCTTGCGGAATGAAAATAAACAAGGGAGATTTCCCACAAGCCTTGGCGGCTAATTCAACACCCATTTGCTTACTCGGGTCATCAAATACTTTAATTGAGATAGGAAACTTCCGGAAAAACTTCCCTGTACTTATTTCAGAAAATGAAGGATGCCCGGGGGGAGCAATAATTGGCACAGATCTCATGGAAGAAATAAACAGAGAGGAGGAAGATTATACTATAGGAATTGATTTTAAAAATGGGGAAGTACAATTGGGGAGAATTAAATTGCCCATGATATATGCCGTAAACATGGAAGAGAAGCCACTGGCAGTCCAATTATTAAAAACACACTTGCTTCCACCCTTATCTGATTCACTAGTTTGGGGGAGAGTAAACAAAGGAGTAGGGTCGGAAGAGCAATTTATAACTGTGGAGCGCCAACACCGATATTTTCCACTTCGAGTTGGCAAATGCTTGGTTAAACCCATGGCAAAACGAATTGTCCCCCTTAGACTGATGAATTACGGAAACTCAGAAATAAAAATCCACGCCAACTCGAAACTTGCTGATTTAGAACCAATTGGAGGGGGTCCAGAAATTAAAACAATAATAGAAAAAGATGAGCTCTGTATGACCGATAAGGAATGGAAAGAATTTAAGGAGGAAGTGGACCAAATCCCAGAAGAAGCCAATTGGATAAAGAATTTACCAGATGAACCTTTAAATAATCAGGAAAAACCGATTTTCGAAAAAATCTTCCTTGAGGGAAACATTTTGAGCGAGGCAGGGTTACTAGAGCTAAAACATATTTTGGAAACATACAAAGAGGCATTTATGAGAGAAGATGGGAAAATTGGAACCTTTAGAGGGAAAACTGTTCACAAAATAGATCTAACCGACGGGGCAAGACCTTTACAAAATCGCCCTTACAGATACCCGTTACATTTACAAGAGGAGATAGAGAAACAAATAAAAAATCTTTTAAAGCAAAATATCATTCGCCCCTCAAGTTCTGCCTGGGCTTCCCCGATAGTTTTAGCCAGAAAATCGGATGGAAGCTACCGATTTTGTGTGGATTACCGACGATTGAATTCGATTACCAAAAAACAAACATATTTTCTCCCAAGGATCCAGGATTTATTGGACTCAGCCATGGGAAAACAAATTTTTTCGGTATTTGATATGTCAGCAGGCTTCCATCAGATTAAGTTGGCAAAAGGACACGAGGAAAGAAGTGCATTTATCTGCCACTGTGGACTTTTTGAATACTTAAGGGTACCTTTTGGACTATCCGGAGCCCCAACCACATTCCAGAAGGCCATGGAAGAAGTTAGGCAATCCTGTTCCCGGAGCTTTCTAGTCTACCTGGATGATTGCATACTAGGGTCAGAGGATGAAAGAAGCCATTTAATTGATTTGAAAGCCTTTTTACAAACAATTAGTGAAGCAGGATTAAAATTGAAGCCGGAAAAATGCAAAGTGGGCCAGGCGGAAATAAGATACTTGGGGCACCTAATCTCGGCAAATGGGATTCGTATCGACCCAAAAGATCTTGAACCAATTATGAAATTAAAGAAGCCCAATACCCTGACGGAATTGCGTTCACTTATAGGGATGCTGAGTTACTTCAGAAAATTCACACCAAATTTTGCCGAAATAATGAGCCCGATATATGAACTAACAAAGAAAGAAAATACCCGGGATTGGGGAGAGACCCACGATAAAGCACTGGAGGGGATGAAAGAATTGTTAACCTCCGCCCCAGTACTAGCCCCGCCAAAACTTGGAAAAGGGGGAACCAAGAATACTCGTGCCAGAAAATTTGAGAAAGAAAGTAATGGAAGAGTATCACAACGATACACTGCAGGGGGGACATCTGGGAGTAAAAAGAACACTAGAGAAAATTAAAAGAAACATGTTTTGGGACAAAATGGGGTCAGATGTAAATGAGTTTGTGAAAAATTGTGATGCATGTCAGAAAAGGAAAGTAATTGGCTTGCACCAAAGCAAGGAACCAATTACACCAATGGAACCATCGGGGAGACCTTTCCAACGAATACATGTAGATTTGATGGGACCAGTACCTATGGCTAAAAGTGGATATAAATACGTCTTGATGATAGTCGATTCTTTTTCTAAATGGATGGCCCCAGTACCCCTACGGAACCAACTGGCGGGAACAGTGACAGATGCCCTAATAAATCACATTATAACCAAATTCGGGGTGCCAGAGTGTATTATTTCTGATCAGGGGACTCAATTTATGAGTACAGTGTTCAAGGAGGTAGCTGAATTATTTGGAATAAGACTGCACACTACTACCCCTTATCATCAGTCCGCAAATGGTCAATGCGAGCGGTACAATCGAACACTCGCGGACATGATTAGTACGACTACACGTGGAAAGGATTGGGCCCAAGCACTCCCTTTACTAGCATTTGCCTACAATACGTCCCTGAATTTAGAAATCGGGCAAACCCCATTTTTTGTGACACACGGATGGAACGCGAGATTGCCATCCGAAAATGCATTGAATAAGCAAGAGAATGAATATGAAAATACAACTGAGTATGCACGCGAGCTTAAAGAGAGAATGGAGGAGGTTTACAGGGATGTTAAACATAGATTGGAGTTAAATGCGGAAAAAATGAAACGCCAACAAAAATTGGTGAAGTCAATTGAATGGCTTGAAGGGGATTTAGTATTAATTAGAAGAGAAGACAAGGGCAATAAGTTTGACTATAAATTCCGTGGACCCTTTAAAATAGTGAGGGTTGAAAGACCAAATTTGGTAGTGGAAGAACAAACAGGAGGAGAAGCAATTACTGTCCACATGGACAAATGCAAAAAATACAATCGGGAAAAGCCTCAACAGGAGCTAACGGGGGAGACAGACACCACATCGGGGAATGAGGATGAAGCAGAAGAGACACCCGCATTTTCCCTTCCTGCCGCTAATGCGCCGCGTGAAACCCCCGAAATTAATACAATAAGATTCACACATTTCAATTACAATAATACGCAAAATTACAGATTAAATAAAAATTTTCTTTATTCGAAAATGTCTTCAACAAATGAAGCAGAATTGGAGCTTCTGGGGGAAGAGGAAATGCTGGAAGTTGAGCAAAATATAAGGTGGGGAAATGCTGATAAAAACTGGACTCCCCTATGTCTAACATGGGAAGAGAAACAAAAACTGGATGAGAAGAAAGAAGCGGCGGAAAACAGGGCCTTAGAGCGAAGAAAAAGGGAATATAAAAATTATGTGGACCAAGAACGGGACCGAAGAAAAATAGAGCGGGGGAAAAGGCACCACCTAAAAGAAATTATGAGAACTGAAAAGAACCGCGCGATCAAATTTGCTAATAGAATGATCAATTCAGCTTTTAGGTTTAATAAGAAAGACGAAGCCAAGGAAGAAGCTCGGAGGAAAAGAGAACATGAAGCTTTTAATCGGGCCTTTGGTTGGCCTCCCCCCAACGACATAAGAAGAGAGAAGGAAAAGCAAGAAAAAGAGAGGAAGATAAGAGAGCAAATTACTGAAGGAATGTTTGAAAAATACGTCCGGAACAATTCAAAGAGGGTGAATCTATTCGAGGAGGAAGGGATGGTAGTCATGGGAAGAGCAGAGAAAAAAAGAGGGGACACTAGCTTTGATGAGCTAGTGGAGGCAATAATGAGGGACCCCTCCCTATTGGCAAGGATGAAAAAGGAGGAGGAAGAAGAAGAAAAGAGAAAAAGAAGGGATGCGGATTGGGGTAGAAAAATGCGAAGCGACTGGAGCAGAAAGCCGGTGGATGGGGGATGGAATACTAAGGACGAGAAAAGAAGCGGGCCCGGGGAGAAGGAAAGCCGAAGAAACAAAGAGGCCAGTCCACAAATAGAGGGGACCCGTGAAAAGGAAGAGAAGGAAAGTGAAGAAAATAAGTGGGTGGCGAAGAAAAGGAAATTAGAAGAAGAGCTGAAAACAGTGGCTGAGGAAATGGAGAAAGAGAAGAAAAGGGAAGAAGAAAAGAAGGAAGAGGAAAAGAGGATGGAAGAGGAGAAGAGAAGAGAGGAAGAGGAAAAGAGAAAGGAAGAGGAGAAGCAAAAGGAAATAGAGGGGGAGAAAAGTAGGAAGCTGACACTAGGGAAAAGATTATGTGAATTGGAGAGCAAAGCCTTCGTCCATTACCAAGAACTCCGGGCAACACGCAAAATATGGGAAGAGATGTTGGGAAAGGAAGAGAGAAATGAATGGGACAAGCAGAAGAAGGCAAAGGAAGATAAGGCTTAGGGGAGGAGAGAGAAAGAAAGGAAATTGGTGATGGGATTAAAATTTTTCATAGATTAGATATTTTTAAGTTTTAATTGGTGATAAACTAAAGTTATTTTAATGTAAAACCCCCCCCCCCCCAGAAAGGATGCGAAAGAACTTTTAAAAAATCCCGGGGCCAAAATCCCATTCAATCTTTTGCTATTTTCTGGGGACCATTGTTGTTGATTGTTAATACCCCTTTTCCCCAATTTATTTAAAAAGTTTTTACAAAGTGCGGGTTGAGCATCTTCATATTCGGAAGAAACGGAAGCAAACATCAAGATCAAGATTAAATATTGAAAAAGAGCCATTAATAAAATTAGAGTGGAATATTTTGGGGAGATTGAAATTTTGGAAGTGATTGTGAACTGGGAAGAGGAGTGAATTTTGGGAAAGAGAACGGGGTGGAAAAGAAGTTGGTGCCATAAAAGCTGCAGGTGCAAAATGGAAGGGGAAAGAAGAAAGACTAGAAGCAGAAAAACAAAAAAAGATTGACTAGAAGGGCCAAATTTTGGAAAAAGGGGAAAAGAAAACTTGCAAAAGAAAAAGTAGAAAACAAACAGAATTCTGGGAGAAGCAAAAATGGGACTATAACACAATAAAAAATAAAATTTTTTGACACCCGCCTAATAACCGTTTTAAATGCTAGCCAGTTGGATCGACCAATGCCTACAATAACACAAGCGTAAAGATGGAAAAGCGAAATAAAAATAAAAAGATTTGGAAACAGGGAAATAGTAATGGCTAACACATCAGTCCGTTAACTGGTGAAAAGTGAACGAGAATTGTTAAAAATAGGAAAGGGGAAATAAATCAATGCCGGGAGGAATATGCAAAATAAAAGAAAGGGGAAGAGGAAAGGTCAAAATGGGGGGAAGAAAACGCGCGCACAGAAAAACAAAAAAAAATGCAAATTTATTAAGAATGAGAAAAATTGATGAAAGAGTGGCTTAAATAGTAAAAAGGGAAGGGGAAAATTACAAAAGGGAGGACGTTTCAGTGCCGAAGAAGAAAATTATTATACCTGGAAATACGGTACAAATTGTCGTGCCACCTTGGTTCGGCAATAGAGTTCGGCAATGAGAGATTCGTCACAATCCACGAGAGTTCCCAACAATTAATTGAACATTTTATTGGCCCAGCTTATAATACTTCAAAATGGACAAAAATCCTCCCTCAAGATATGAAACCAAAATTTCTAATTAATTTTAAATCCGTTCATGCAATTAGTGCACAAAATGGACAACTTGGAAAGTTACGGGAAAAGATTGGATCAATTTATTCAAAATTACAACCGTAAACAAAAATTTGAAGAAGATGAATTGAAGGAAGAGAAGTGGCGAAGAAGATGCCAACCCCGCACATACCCCCCCCAGTTACAGAATGTCATAGTTTAATTATTATATAAATTATTTCACGCCCATTTCGTTTGCCAATAAAAGGGGAAGGGAGAACCGGGCAAAAAGCTCATTCTTGACTTTAATTTGCACCAAAGTTTAGCCCGGTGCTCCCTTTCCCTTTAATTTAATTATTTATATTTATTTTTGCGTGATAAAATTTGTTAAAGGGAGCTAGTCTTTAATCGTTAAGGGGAGAACGCCTTTCGCGCCCCGAGAGTGAGCCGTCGCTCATTCTCGGGGCCCAACGAAAGAGTGGGGGGTAAAATAAATCAATAAAACAAATGTAAATTACAATAAATTAAAAACATAAAGCGGATTACGTAGGGCTAAAGGGATTTGAGAGGCTAGAGAAGGATTGTGGGATATTAGGAGATTTTGGAGTTTACGATCTCCCGATAGCCTCCTCAAATTTTTTATATCGCCTATATGTATTCCTCATCCAATTCCCTTTAATCCCTCTTAATCCACCTTGATGCTGATTTAATTTTTATTTAATCCCTCCAAATCCACTCTGATCTTCTCTGTGCAATAGTGATATCAGTGATTAAAAGAGGCATCGAGAGATTCAAGTATTTTTTGGGTAGCATTAAGAGAGATTGTGGAGAAAGACCTCCAACAACCTATATCACCTGATATCTATTCAAATCCCTTCAATTGGAAGGCAACGATATCAGATTGATTAAGGCAGATCTAATGGATTTAGAGGGATAAAGATGGCTTAATCACGAGAGAAGGATTGTGGGGGTAAATATAAATCCTCGATAAAAAAAATAAATCCCTTGATAAAATCGCACTATACACTAATTTCCCTCAACTTTTCCTTTAATAATACCTCCAAATTTCTCCGTTCGAAATTCTTCCGCGAAAATTTTGAGAATTTTGGAAGGCAAAATGGCCAAATTTCTTCCATTTTCAGCGCCGCAGGCGAAAATTTTGAGAATTTTTGTAAAATCTCCAATATTTTTAAGTCAAAAATCAAAACGCCAAGCAAAAATATTTAAAATTAGCTGCTAGAATTTTTCCCGGTTTCCCGGTCCAAAAAAAGCCGGGACCGGGAACGGGAAACGGGAAATGAAAATTAACCGGCCGGGACCCGGACCGGGAAAACCGGGAATTCCCGATCCCGGTTTCATCCCGGTATCTTCAAAAAAGCCGGGAAAAAGGACCGGGAAACCGGGAAACGGGACCGGGTCCCGATCCCGTTCCGATCTCTATATCCGACAATATTTTTCAGTAAAAAAATTTTTTGTTCGCAATTCGAAACGTACCCTGCTAGATTTGTTTTTTGTTATCTTTTTTAAGTAAAGCAGTCGGGCTAAAGTTATTTTTCTTCTTTAACTAATGCAAAAGGTTAATCGGCTGCTGGGAGCGAACCAGCATCTTCAGTAGACCGGACTGATGTGTTATCCATTACACTGCGCCGCCTACTGATATCCTTAGGGATTAAATAGCTATATGCTTCACATTAATTTCGGAAATAATTAACTTAAGATTCAGAAAAATTAAAGAATTTTTCAAAAATTACAATTAACCTTCCCAAAATTAAGTTTTCCCTAATTACGTCAATTTTCCTTTTAATTACCTTTTAATTTCAAACATTTTAAGCTCGCTGAAGTAACATCTTGGTTAAATAACAATTATGTAAGTCCTGGCCAACACAAAAATATTAAACGAATATTTGCACACAAATCGCAACTTTCTTTGCGACATTTTCTCAATGTTTTGTTTAAATTTTATTTTAAAAAAAAATTTTTTTTTAAATTTTTAGACAGACAAATACAATTCTGCATTACAAGAATTAGAAACAGCTTCATTTACTTGTATTGGCCCTCCAAATAAAAAAAATGTTTGGAGACTTGTAGAATCTCAACTTGAAGAAACCTCTCATTTAAAAAGTTTATTACGTGTTTTTCGCTCTGAAGCAATTACTTTACTTTTAACACAATGGACAGGTTTACATTTACACGAAATTAGAAAAGGAGGAGCAATAAATGAAGGAAATAATGGAGAAGAAGGAGGAGATGAGGTGACAACTACTACAAGTGATAATGGACCTCCCTCAAAAAAGTCAAAAATAAATTCGAAAGAAGAAATTAATAGAGGTTTATTTAGAGTTTTTTTTTGTTTAAATATTTTTTGGGGACTGTCCCATTCAAATGAAAAAAATTTATTCGGCCGAAAGCCAGAGTCCGGTTATATTTGTTTTTGAAAAATCGGGTCTCTTGCACGGCTGCGCCCCAAAACGGCCCACTGAACAAAAACCCCCAAAACGGCCCACTGAACAAAAACCCCCAAAACGGCCCACCTCAAAACGGCCCACAGTGCAAAAGCCCCAAAATGGCCCAACTGGTTTCCGGAAACCTTATTTCCAGATTTTCCTGAAACAATTTTCCTGAAACTTTTTTCCAGATGTCTGGAAACAAGTACCGGAAACCGTTTTCTGTATTTTCCGGGTACAAAAAAATCTGGAAATGCAGTTTACCTCAAAATGTCCCACCCAAAAAACGGCCTGCAAATCCGGAAAAATGGTTTCCGGAAAAATAGTTTGCTGAAGTTTTCTTCTGAAAATGATAGGTAATCGACCATGCGGAGTCCGAATCTGAGCTTAGAATTTGTTTTTTTCGAACCCCGGACCCGAGTTCGACCAAGTCGAATTCGGTAAAATTTCGAAATTAAAAATTTAGGGCTAATCTAAAGTTGTTGAAAAAAGTTTTTTCAACATCAAGGTTGTCGAAAAAACAACTTTCAGAACCCGCTTCCCGTTTCCCGGACCTGGTTTTTTCAATTTTTAATTTTAGTTCGACAAATTGAGTATTTTTACTTTGTTGGACATTTTGAGATGGGCCGTTTTTTGGGTGGGCCATTTTGGGGGTTTCTGTGCATTGGGCCGTTTTGGGGGGTTTTTGTACATTGGGCCGTTTTGGGGGTGGGCCGTTTTGAGGTGGGCCATTTTGGGGGTATTTGTTCAGTGGGCCGTTTTGGGGGTTTTTGTTCAGTGGGCCGTTTTGGGGGTGGGCCGTTTTGGGGGCGCGCCCTCTTGCACTTTATTTTTTGAACCCGCAGTCCTCATGTGTAAAAAATTACGTAATTTACACATTCTTATTGCGTTGAGGACAGGTCCTGAGTCTACACACGGCCCCTTAATTAATAGGAGTTCTCAGGTTTTCCTTTACACGGATTTTTTGACTAAAAGAGTTGACTTCCATCCACAGTCTTTTGACTAAAAATTTGTTTTTATTTTTTTAGTTGTTTTTTTTGCATTTTTCTTTTTGAAAATCCACAGTCCTCATGTGTAAAAAAATTCACTTTTTTTTCCGTCGATCCCTTTTATTATTGTAAGCCTTAAGCTATCTAAATTTAAATACTTTGAGTATCAAAGATAATTTTTTCATCTTATTTTTAATTTTTTTCAGATGTCGAACTCGTTTCATTTATCAATCGTTTTGATCAAGGCTGTTATTCAATGGCTGATGACCAACTTATTGCTCATTCTGAAGATAATGGATTTAGTTTGGATGTAATTATATTTTTTGGCCGAAAACAAAATTGGCCCTCACAAAATGGAGGTTTTATAAGTTATTTTTCGAGTGGGGAAGAAGATGAAATTATTCGTGTTATTCCAACATTGAATACAGCTGCGATAGTTTTTAGGTCTAAATTTTTGAATTTTTAAATGATTGGGTTTAAAAATCACTTGGGTCTTTTTTGTTTAAGTAATTTACATAAATCCTTAGGCGGAGTAGGGGTGTCGTTTTTGAGTCGGGCCGATGGTCGAGGCATTTTTTGGGGCTTGTTTTTACCGAGTTGGGCAAAAATAATTTATTTTTATTTTTTCTAGACGTCGAACTCATTTCATTTTACTAGTCACTTTCTATTCTCTTTCAGTTTTACTAATCCCTTTTGGGCCTTATCGAGTCGGCCACCGAGACATTTTCGTGTCTTTTAAAGATTTATTTAGAAGTAATTGGTGGATTTCGATGGATTAAGGGGATTCGAATATTTATATTGGAGGATTGATGTGGGATATCGGTAGATTAGGAGTTTATACGGTGTGTGGACATATCGGGACGGACATATTGGGATTGGTGTGACAAAGATAATTTCTTGCGTGTCTATGTTTGTTCTATAACAAAATACTATTCAAGACCCAGTGGCCGTAGGTCCCGAAATCAGTAGGGTAACTGTTCGTACATGAAATATCTCGATATGTCTATTCCGATATGTTCGCGTGCCGTTTATATTTCCATTATTGACCTGATTTATTAAAAAATGGACTAAAAATTTTCCAGAAACTTGAATATTTAAAACGTTTATTTTTAAATAATAAATTTTTTTTTCATTTTTTAAGAGAACCAGGCGTTTTAAATTTTACCAAATATGTAAATCATCGAGCGGGTTCAGACCATTTTTTTACTTTAAATTGCACATTTTTTGGTGTTTGTACCGGTGAAAGTGAAAGCGAAGAAAGTTCTTTAAATTCAAAAAGTATTCATGAAGATAGTGAAGATGAAGACGAGGAAGAATTTGGGTCGGAGGATTTTGATGAAAATGAAGAGGAGGAGGAAGAAGAGGGAAAGGATGAGGGTGGTGGTGATGGGAATTGTGGTGGACTTTAAATGAATTTACGTGAGGATTTTATATTTTGTTTATTTTTTTTGACTTAATAAGGAAGGGTTGTCTGTTCTATTCTAATCAAAAATCCGCAGGGGTTTTCGGTTCGATTTTGGATATCTAAAGATTTTTTGGAACCTTTCTATTTTTTAACTTTATAATGAGGGTTGTTACCTTACAAGGGAACATTCAGAATGGAGACCGGCTTTAGTGATCGTTCATAATATAGGTATAGTTAATCGATAATATATATAATTCCGAACTGTCACCAAAAATTCTGTACCTTTTTTGCACCATCGTGTAGAGGAGGGTCGATAACCTATTGCCATTTATTTTCTTTTTTTGGCCCTGACCCCCAAATCAAACCGATGTTGATTTTGGTTTTATTATTAGAATTTCTTTGGAACCGACAACCTTTTTTTTAATTTTTAGTCTTTTTGCATTTTTCACCTACCACAGACCTTTAAGTTAGCCAAGTAAAAAAAATTTTTTTTAATCTTTTAAGGCTACACAATTTGAATATATAATTTAATTTTAATTATCGGGAGCAGGCCAATGTACCGCAAAGATACATATACTGACCTTAAAGTGGTCGGATCCGGGACGTCTTGATATGGTTCGATGTGTCTTGACGAGCTGAATCGAACCATACTGAATCGAACCATACTTGGAACGAAGTTATAGCCTCTACGGTACATTGGGGTTTACCCTTAATTGTCCATCTTCTTTTCCTTTACTTTCTCTTAAATCGCAAATTTAAAGACTAGTTTAAATTAATCTAATCTCTTTTTTTTGACCACAATTTATTTAAACGGTTATAACTGCTATTTTTAATTAATGCTTTCATTTTAATTTAAAAGCTGTTTTATTTCTCTGCAATTTATTTTTTTTTTAATTTAAATAGTCCCTCATTTACGTGCAATGTCTTTCTTATTTTTTTTAAAAAATATTTTAAAATCTACACATTATTTTAAAGAAATTGTCTTTTTTTTAAATTTAAAAATCAACACCTTGAAGTAAAAAATTTAATGTTAATTTTTTTGATTAACTTTAGTGTAGGGTGTTTGAAAAAATTTTTCGGCCCTGGTCGTTTGTAAGTTCAAGAAACCTTTATGATTCTACTACTTATTTACGAGTCCAAACAAAAGTTTATGAGTCTATTGAAAGATTATATATCAATAGATTTGGATCCTTTTTTGATTCTGAGATGCTTTTATCACGAATCTAGCTCTTGTCTGAAAAAATAATTTGCTACTTTATAGTTTTATGTATTCGATACAGAAGGAAACGCTATTTCTATCTTTACTAATGGAATTTTGCTTAGTTAGGATTCGAACCTGCGACCTCCTGGCAGTTATTGCTAGTCGCTTTCGCTCACTATATGTAGGAGCTCTACCTCTGACTACCGGGGCATCGACTAATGCTTTCTCTTTTTCCTTTTTAGATCGTTTAACCCGCGCCTAAGCGTTTTAAATGCTGCTGGGTGAATCATCCTTACATTACTTCCGCATGTGGGATCCGCTAGCACGAGTTTTCCGACCTCTAATACTAATGCATTATCCGTCACCATTTTATTTTTCTTTTCCTTTCTCTTTCCTTTCTACAAAAAATGTACGTTTGGGTCAGAAGAACAATATTGTTAAATGATTAAATTAATATGTCAAAATTAATTCTGGATCTGTAGCTAAAGTACCCAGCTAAGCGTGATGGAACTAATGATCCGGTATTGTGATTGTGTATCATAACTCTGAGTAAATAGAGCTCTCTATAAACATAAGATACCCAAACTAATCCAACAAATCAAAAAACCTTTTTTCAAATTAATTTAATCACTCAACAGTAATGTTCTTCTGACCCATGTGTACATTTTTTGGTGAAAGGAAAGAGAAAGGGGAAGAAAGATAAATGTTGACGGATAATGCGATAGTACCAAAATGACATTAAAAAATCCTCTCCTTAAATATCAAAAGGAATATGAAAATTAATTTCCGCCGTTATTTGTATATTTTCTCGTTTGCTTTATTTGGGTCATCATTTTATATCTTGGATATGTTCTTCTTTAGTGTTCCATATTCATGTGGAGGGATTAAATATTTTGATAATTTTAACAAAACTTTGCCATATATTCAATATAAAGTGGAGGCGGTAATTTTTAAATTACTAAATTATTTTTCGAAAATATTCAAAAATTATAGATGAGTATTTTGTCCCTATTAAATATGGCTTTAACTCAAATACTTCCTTATTTAATAGTAATTATTTGTGGATTCAAAATGGTCAGATTTGTCAATTTAAACACTAATTTTGATGGAAATTTAAAAAGATTGAATAAACTTTTAACTAAAGTTTTGATCCTTTTGGTAAGCAGATTACTGCATGCGTAATATTTTGAGGGAATAAAACTACTACATATTAATCAGTTTAAAATAATTTTTTATGGAAAGGAGGGGGGAGCTATAAAGCTGTCCAAGACTTGGTCTTAAGTCGACTCAGGACTTTTCTAGGGTTTTTATTCGGTCTTGAGGACCAGTCCAGTGCTGGGTATGGCCCCGGGAGCTAGCTACGGAGCCCGGCTCCGGCGGAGCCGGGGCTGGAGCCGGAGCCAACAAATGGCAAATACCCAGCAATGGACCAGTCTTGATCTCGTGTCTATGAAAATTACCAGACTTGGACCTCTAATAGCCATGTTATTTTCAATGCAAACGTCTCGTTAAAAATTATTTTGTCAAATTTATAGGCTGTTCCACCATTTGTTAATCAAGCTGGAATTTTATTTATTATGATTTATTCAAGAACAGCCAACAATACAACAAATATTCGAATATTAATTTACATTTCCTTTCATTTAATACCTGTAATTAACCCAATTATTTGTATTTTAACAAACACTCCATATCGAAATGCTGTTTTTAATCGTTCACAAATAACTCCACAATAAGTGAATGAAGAAATCCCGTATCAAGTCCCGTACCTCCGATTCGGATAATCAATCCTCACTTAAAAAAGCTCGACTAGCGGAATGGATGATATCAAAACTAAGCTCTGAACTTAATTTTATGCGAAGCTTGGGGTGGGATATAGGTAGATTAGGAGTTTATATGGTGTGCGACATATCGGGACGGACATATCGGGATTGCGGTGACAAAAATAATTTCTTGCGTGTTTACGTTTGTTCTATAACATAAAAACTCTAGTCCCCAATGGATAATATACTATTCAAGACCCAGTGGCCGTAGGGGCCGAAATCAGTAGGGTAACTGTTCGTACATGAAATATCCCGATATGTCTATTCCGATATGTCCGCGTGCCGTTTATATTTTCCTTGTTGACATGATTTATTAAAAAATTGGCCGAAAATTTGCCAGAAACTTGAATATTCAAAGCTTTTATTTTTAATTATAATTTTTTTCCTTTTTTAAGAGAACCAGGCGTTTTAAATTTTACAAAATATGTAAATCATCGAGCGGGTTCAGACCATTTCTTTACTTTAAATTGCACATTTTTTGGTGTTTGTACCGGTGAAAGTGAAAGCGAAGAAAGCTCTTTAAATTCAAAAAGTATTCATGAAGATAGTGAAGATGAAGACGAGGAAGAATTTGGGTCGGAAGATTTTGATGAAAATGAAGAGGAGGAGGAAGAAGAGGGAAAGGATGAGGGTGGTGGTGATGGGAATTGTGGTGGACTTTAAATGAATTTACGTGAGGATTTTATATTTTGTTTATTTTTTTTTGACTTAATAAGGAAGGGTTGTCTGTTCTATTCTAATCAAAAATCCGCAGGGGTTTTCGGTTCGATTTTGGATATCTAAAGATTTTTTGGAACCTTTCTATTTTTTAACTTTATAATGAGGGTTGTTACCTTACAAGGGAACATTCAGAATGGAGACCGGCTTTAGTGATCGTTCATAATATAGGTATAGTTAATCGATAATATATATAATTCCGAACTGTCACCAAAAATTCTGTACCTTTTTTGCACCATCGTGTAGAGGAGGGTCGATAACCTATTGCCATTTATTTTCTTTTTTTGGCCCTGACCCCCAAATCAAACCGATGTTGATTTTGGTTTTATTCTTAGAATTTCTTTGGAACCGACAACCTATATTTTTTATTCAAAGTTTTTTTGCATTTTTCACCTACCACAGACTTTAAGTTAGCCAAGTAAAAAATTTTTTTCTACTTTTTAAGGCTACAATTTGAATATATAATTTAATTTTAATCATCGGGAGCAGGCCAATGTACCGCAAAGATACATATACTGACCTTAAAGTGGTCGGATCCGGGACGTCTTGATATGGTTCGATGTGTCTTGACGAGCTGAATCGAACCATACTGAATCGAACCATACTTGGAACGAAGTTATATGTAGCTCTGCGGTACATCGGAGGTTTATCCTTAATTATCCATCTTCTTTTCCTTTACTTTCTCTTAAATCGCAAATTAAAAAAATTATTTTAAATTAATCTAATCTCTTTTTTTTGACCACAATTTATTTAAACGGTTATAACTGCTATTTTTAATTAATGCTTTCATTTTAATTTAAAAGCTGTTTTAATTTTGCAATTTATTATTTTTTAAAATTTAATTTAGTCCCTCATTTACGTGCAATGTCTTTCTTATTTTTTTTAAAAATATTTTAAAAATCTACACATTATTTTAAAGAAATTGTCTGTTTTTTTTTAATTTAAAAATCAACACCTTGAAGTAAAAAATTAAATGTTATTTCTTTTTGATGAATTTTAGTGTAGGATGTTTAATGAATTTAGCTTCTCTTTTCTCATGGGGGGGGGGGGGGGCGGAGACCAACGGTGATGCGACTTTTGCGGCGCGTACACTTGCGGCCCAGACACTTGCGGCTCGCCCCTATTTTGACACTTGCGGTCCCGACACTTGCGGCTAAGAAATTTTCGGCGCAGACATTTGCGGCTATCAACTTGAGGCCCAGACACTTGCGGCCCAGACTATTGCGGTTTTGCCATTTGAGGCTCCCCTCTATTGTGACACTT